TCATCAGCGACCAACACACAGCACTCCTAAAGATCAGTTTATATGCATGTAGAGCTTCTCAAAACTGTTTTCTTGCTTCAGATTTTTATGTCAAAGCTGCATAAGAAACCATGATTGGAGCATGTTGCTGTGGTTGGTTGTTGCTCTCTGAGATGTCTCCATCTTCCTATGTGTCCTGATCTTTAGTCACCTGGCAGGAGGTGACCTGAGAGATTTAGTTAGCAGATGAATCCCCCCAAAAAATGTCTGAAGCAGAAAGGGAGGAGGAGGCTGGATGTACATTGTTGTAGACGTTTCACCTGCTGCTTGATTGTTGGATTTAACTGTTTTCTTGTGAAGCTGCTGCCTTTTGATGCAGTGTGAACACTTCTATCATGACTGCACACATGAAGACGTATTTTTGAAGTGGAATTTTCAATCATTAATACCCTAAATTCGTTTCTCCTCCTCTCATTTCCACCATCAGAAGCATTGCTTCCTGTGTGTCCTGTTTTGTAATTCAAGAGAAATACATTTCATATGTTCATAAAATCCCAACAAAGCCAAAATCAAGCAGATTTATTATCCAGAAAATGAAGAAGTGGGCACATTTGAATTTTAAGAATGAAATGTTTCATTTTATTCCTGTTGTTTCCTCACAAATAATTAAGTCTCTGAATTAAATTCAGTAAATAAGTCAGCTCTTCAGCCGTTCAGCAATAATCTATTACAGTTGGAGTGTTAATACCTTCATGAAAAATCTTACAAAAATTATCCCAAGTATGAATCATGATAAAAATTAAGATTATATATATAAACACTTTAAACACGGACATTTAAACAATTAATTCATAATTCAAACTAAACAGACAAAGGTGGAATTTCACATAAATCCACCAAAGTCTCTTTGTTGCATCAGATGTATTTAATAATCTTGTTTCTTTAGATACTTAAAAGAAACATGATGAAGAGTTAGATCATGTCAGATTATAATAACACACTTTTAGTAATTTAATTTAATTTAATTTAATATAATATAATTTAATTTAATGCTGAGGTGTATTTCCTGCATGGCAGTTGCTGACCTGCTGATGCAGGTGTGTTGTTTTTTCATTGTGTTTGAGGTATTTCCTTTTCACATACCTGAGGAGATCTTATCATTTTAAACACGTATAGTTTGGGAATGCTTCGTTTGAAGGAAAATAATCTCCACAATCTATTCTTGTTTATTTCAGTTTCATTTTAAGGTTGATGGACATGAAGCCTAACTGGAAAACCAGAGAGCTTGTCTCACATGATCTTTTAATATGTAGATTTTAACATTTAATGTGTGTAAATATATGACATAAAAATATACTATATTTGTGCATTATTTTTTAAATAAAAAATATAAAATGAATGCTGCTTCTGTTTCAGCATTGCTTGGAGTGTGTAGACAAATTCATAGAAAATAGATCTCTCATACTTGATTGGAAAGGCAGAGCTGTTTAATTTGTCACTCTCCAAACACTGAGACCTGCTGCTGTCATTTCACAACTCTTTCTGCTTCGATAGGAGTCTGCCAAATTCCCCTCCGACACTCTTGTGTCATGTGGGACATTTTTTCTCAGCGTCATGATTCCCATTTTGATGTCGGTAAAATAATAACAAAAAAAACACAGAGTCTGTCTCATGGTCGGCACACAGCCGGGGTGTTGGCTGCTGTTCACTGCTTGTTATAACGGTGATTTAAAAGTGTGAAAGGTGCGGTGATGATGAGTCACTGGTCGATCCTCACTGCAAAAAGTGACCAACACTCCCTCTTTTATTCACGTCTTTACATCTTATTTTTAATCAAAACAAAGCGGGGAAAATCCACAGGCAGGGGTTAATAATTTAGCTTATTTTTAATGAAATAATTTCGGGGATTTTTTGGAATCATCAGCCACTAAAACAAAGCTTGATGAAGGCAGATGTCTCCTCTGGTCTCCAGGAAATATCACCATTTGATAAGCTGCAGAGACGTGGGTTTGCCCCATGCTCTCTGACTGCGTTTATGTAACTTTTATTAAAGAAAATAACATTTCAGAACACAAACTGTATAAAAGAATTTGACCCGACGGATATTTCTTGCAGTGTGCAGCGCAGGAATTTCACCAAACTTTTCAAAGTTCACTTTTTATTGACTCTTCCCCTCCCGGTGCGCACTTGAATGTATGGTGTCATAACTTGTTTCTAACCAATGGGGCTGTGTCCTGATCTTATTGTGATATGGTAATTGAGTGCTTCCGGGGACAAAATGCGCTGCTGCTGCTTATGATCTCTCTCAGAGGAGCCGCTGGCGTCACTGTTCCGCTGCAGGAGCTGCAGAAAAAAAGTGTGTTAATACAGTAGTGTGTCTTCACAAGTTATTTGACTGTAGTGTTTGATAAAGGGGAATAAGCCTTGTTTGATATTGTTCATGAAAACTTTCTTGTTTATAGTATCAGCATTACTTTTAAGACTTTTACATGATGAAAAAAACCTTAAAATTGTGAATTTATTTAAACAAGCTGGACTTTAACTCATCTCGACTTTTAATGAAGCAAGATTCAGTGTGTCCATATGGGCATGTTGCTTTGCGTGCTGCTGTTTGTGATGCTGAATAGACCATCTGCATTTCTTAAAATAAACTTTGACTCACTCACTTGTAACAAAGCAAAAATGACCAGTGCCGACATCCGTCTGTGGTGCAGTGCTGGAGGTGATGGCTCCGACGTGCGTAATTGCGCATCCTGGTGAGCTGGAGGCAGCTGATGGTGCTGCTGGATGTGGAGGAGGGATTCGGACACCTGCCTCTCCCACCGCAGCACCTCGGTTAGCCACATTTGATTCGGTTTGGCTTCTTTTAAACTCTTTAAAAGAGTCGATTTGAACAGAAATGGCGCATCTGTGAGTGTTGATTCATTTTAAATTATTTTTGTAGCCTTCTGCGCACCAAAAAACGAACGTAGAACATTTTAACAATTAATTTAATCCATTATAAAGTGTAAAAAAATATTTTTTTTCCACCGGAAAGCACCTGCCTTCCATAATGAAATCATTTCGATTTTTTTCTCCACTAAATCCGAAGTTTAATTTAAAAAAAAAAAAAGAGTACTTTCATTGGGTGATCTCATTCTTCCTTATTTCAACACACAGACAACTGTTCCTAGAAATGTCATCAACTACCCAGGGTGCACTGGAAGAGGAGATGTGTCACTCCTGTCACAAAGTTCCTCTCCTTCACTATTGTTTAAACTTTGCTTGAGGCTAAATTAATATAAAGCCTGAGTCGCAGCCTCTTTTCCGACCGAGCATTAAACTTCAGTCATATATGATGCCACTTAAGACAGGGTGTTGTGCGTGTTTAAGCAGCAGCGACATCCTTTAAGGGGTGAGACTGATAGATGACCAGCAGAGGAGGGAGGAGAGAGAGAGACAGAGAGAGAGGGAGAGAGGGAGGAAGGTATAGAAGAATCTGCCCAGTAACAATCGCACAGCCTCGGTCGAGCGCTGAGGAACTATTGGCTATGCAAATAGACACACAGGGAGGAGGAAACAACTTAGACTGGGAAAAAAAACTTTAAAGAGACATTTCCCCCACTTTTCTCACAAGCATTGCTATATAGCCAACAAGCTTCGGATGGAAATTAACAGCTCTAAAGCTCTGAGGACTTTACAGTCCCCAGTCCTGCCCTGATGCACTGAAGTCTCGTTGCATTCAAAGGCTCACTCTTTGAAGTTGACTAAGAATAGGAGGGGGATTAACATATTTACCCATGCAGATTCTCTTTGTGACTGTATGTGAGGCTAAATCATTTGGCAGTCATTTTTTTAATTATCTGCTCAATGACTTACACTCTCAGCTTGGTCTCCACCTGCTTGTTTGTCCATGTAAATTATTACAGAAGCCTGAATTCTTAAATAAAAGAGATTTATAGCAGCAGTAAAGTTAAGTTGGTTAGTAATATTTGTGTTGAGCAAAGCCAGTGACTCTCATCTCTGTGTTATCTTTAACAGAAGATAATGCAAAAAAAAAAAAGTCAACGCTGCTTCACATTTCCTAGAAAGCTATCTCACAAACCACGAGCAGTTTGTGGCTGCTATGAATTAAATACCATGTGTGTCCGTGTGTGTGTGGGTGTGTGCGTGCGTGCGTGCATGCATGTGTGTGTGTGTGCGTCAGTGTCAAGAGTGGGTGGGAGGGTGGTTCTGTCCTGTGCGCGTGTCCGTGCGCGCGCACCGCCGCTGTAAGTTAACATGCAGTGTTTATGGCCACATACATACAGTATCTACATGCGTCATGCTCCGCGCTGAGGTTCACTGAGTGCATATGCAAAGCAGACAAGTTGACAAGACAGCAACAGAATCAGTCGCTTTTTTTCTGCTTTCTAATCCAAACTAATATTCAAATTAGCTTCACAACTTACTGCACTTTAGCAAGTTAAGTTGGGTTCTTGGAGGCTTTCTGATGCGCAAAATGTGCGTAATAACAGCGCAACAATGAATAAGGCGTCCATTCATTTATTTGTATTGTGTTAAATGTTAATGCTACTGTGTCCTCCACTCTGTAAGTAGCATCACAAGGCATCACAAGGCACCACCATAAAGAAACACATCTTTAAAAGCACAGAAAAGTTTGTATTTCACCTGAAGGCACCATGTTCCAATTAAACATCCATCAGTCACATGCTTAAATAAATCAAAAATAATTTAAATAATTAGTTTATTTCAGCCTAAAACAGTCGGTAAATGCGAGTTATTCTGGTTAAAGTCGATTTTACATGAATTTATTCTGCATCTGTCACTTTATAGTTGTGCATCCACCTTGGGAAGGTGCTTTAAATGTTTAAATGAAACAAGTTCAGCGATAGTTTGTGTTCATGCCAGTATAGAGGACAGAGGGACTGCAGTGCAGCATGTTGCTTCTGGTCTATACAGAGGTAATGAAGTGAATTGCGTCAGTGGCGCACGCAGGGTAGGCTTGAAATGCGCCTGATCTGGCCAGGCGGATGAAAGTAGAGGCGCACTGTGGGGAGAGAGGAAAAAGTTCTCAACAAGGAGAGGCAGGACTACTCTTACGGAGCCCCTGCAGTCTCACTTTTTATGCCTCTAAAACACTTTCCCTGCCATCCTTTTGCATTTTTTGCTCAGCAACGACGCTTTTACGTTTCCCAGAGAGAATTTCTACTTTTTCTTTTTTTTTTTTTTCTTTTTTTTTTTTGACTTAAGTGAAAGCACCAGCACCATGGAGCTGCTCTGCCTCGAAATGGACACCATCATACGAGCTCGTCCCGATCCGAACCTCCTGTGCGATGACAGAGTCCTGCAGAGCTTGTTGACCATAGAGGAGAGATTTCTACCCCAATATTCCTATTTCAAAGGCGTCCAGAAAGATATTCAGCCCTTTATGAGGAGGATGGTCGCGACTTGGATGTTGGAGGTACAGCGAAACACCGAGTGCTGACAAGTCTTATTATTTCCGTGCTCGACTTTAAAGCCTCCCGATTTGTTTCGTTACTGCTTTGCTGATCGCTCTTTGCAATATTTTGGACAGTAGATGAGACTCCTGGCTCTCATTTCCGACAGCTTATTCCTCATATTAACCAAATGTGTCGCTTTCTGTCATTTCTTGCCATATTTAAAGTAGCTACGCTCGCGAAGACTGTTTGTCAAACTTGGACCTGCGACATCCGTGTCACCGGAGAATTTCTCCGATATGCCTCGCATGCTGTCTGCACGAGCTGCCCGTTGATTCTTTAATGTTATTATTTTAGATAGCCTGAATATTTCCATGCACACGTATGCACTCCCCAATGCAATGCTGCCCTGTGCTGTTCTATCGCCATGTTGGTTTTTACAGGAGCGCTTGTGCTTTTAAGAGGACTTTACAGTGTCATAAACGCAATAACAGCGGTTAAAAGCCATCGGCAATGACAGAGGAGGGTCTTTAGTGTCCGCTGAATATAGGAATGATGTGGAAAAGCGTTGCAAACATTTTAGGTATCTATTTTAAATGTCGGAAGGGGCGAGGGCCTTATCTGTCCTCTCGGTCTTCCTCCTGTAGCAATGCCTCACTCTGGAATTATGTTCGATTTTTGACACTTGATCAAATATTTCTGCTCAACACCCAGCTGTAAACAATCTCGAGCCTTTGAGCTTTATTTTCATGTAAATATTATCAGGTTTCGACCCACTGGAGATTTTTAATTAATTTTTGAAATAAATATATCGGGTCGCCGGTGACGCACATCAGACCAACCTCTTGCGACTTGTCTTTTATTTTGACGTTTTATTGGTGTTTATCGCGTATGGATTTGGATATGAATTGTCGGATATGATACGGAAGATCCTCCTGAACATTATGATGTGAAGAAAATCGCTCTAGACAATTTATTTATATTTTTAATTATTTTATGAAAATATGACGAATGAAAAAAAAAGTGTGTTTCCGTGTGCTGCGCTGTCGGGGTGTTTTTTGGCTCGGCTGATTGTGACTTGAATTCATTTCTTAGTGAATGAACTGCAGGAATGCGACTCTATTGACAGTATATGTCCGACACTTATTTCATTCTTTGTGAAATAATCTATTTCGAATTAATTTATGATGTCGCAACCGATTAGGGCTGGGCGCAGATTCTTGGCCGGGCCCCAACTATGTGTGTCATTGAATTTATATGTGCTCTTTATGTGATTAGAGTTTTGTTTCGTTTTCTCATAAAAGTTTTATATACGTTTACAAGTGCTGGGGAAAAAAGTAAGGTCTCTGCAGGGCTGGTTGCTGATCCCAAATGCTGAACATTGCTGCATTGTCTGCTGTCTCTTTATTCAGGTTTGTGAGGAGCAGAAGTGCGAGGAAGAAGTTTTTCCCCTGGCCATGAACTACTTAGACAGATTTTTAGCCGTGGTACCCACCAAAAAGTGTAACCTGCAGCTGCTGGGAGCAGTGTGCATGTTTCTTGCATCCAAATTGAAAGAGACTCGTCCATTAACCGCAGAGAAGCTTTGCATCTACACAGATAACTCCATCAGACCACAAGAGCTGCTGGTAAGCAACAGTTGGTTTAATACATTTTACAGAAATTCACAGTGACACCTTTGAGGGTTCATGCTGTCATCATCAGCTGGTTAAAGTCAGACATAGCTTCATGATATGTGTGTTTCTGCATCATGTTTGTTTTGAGGGGAAAATTGTTTTATTTCAGTTTTAAAGACATTAAATCACTTAAAATATGTTCATTTTAATCATTAAGTTCAAAACATCCCACACTGAACACCAGGGTTGCTCTCATTTCACTCATTCTGTAGTCCAGCCTCCACTTTGGACTGTGCCGTCATCAAAGGTGCATGAAAAGCACAAGCCTCACAGTGAATTGTCCCACAATGGCTCTCTTTACTGTACAAGACCCTCTGGGCTTTACAGTATCCATCCAGCTTGTGCAGTGGTCTCCATTGCCATCTAGTGGCAGATATTTGCACAGAGCAACGAGGTCAGCTTGAACTCCAGCCAAAGTTCTGACTCTGTTCCTGTCAGCTAGAGAGGGAGAGACACAGAGAAATTCAAGTTTGCCTTTTACAGTTTAGCTTTCATCCAAAAATAACCGTGGATGCATACATTTCTGATATTATGTCATGCTGCGCTATTTCTGATCCTCACGCATTTTTCAACGCTGAAATGCTGCTCACAGTCAAAATGGTGCATAGAAGTGACGATGCAGGGTAAAAAAAATCCATTGTGTGCTGTGTTTGATAGGGCCTGTTTGGCCTGATAATACCAGCTGCCTTCACCAGTGCAAACCAATTAATTAACTCAGTTTCACATCAGATAAGTGTTTCCCCACTGCTCTGTGGTGCTACATAAACATTCTTCAGTAAACAACAGCCAATCCCACCCATGTTGTGAAAGAGGCCACATATTATGATTCAGACGTGGCTGATGGTTGTAGGCCTGCCTCGCTGCCTGACTGCCGGCTCCACTCGCCGAGCCCATTGCTGCAGGATATTCAAGTTCCTGACAAGCTGCTGTCACTTTCTGATCATTTTCTCGACTATATTTCTGCTTGGGAATGTTGTGTCAGATTTGAGCCTCCCTTTCTACAGTGAAGGGTACGAGTTTCAGCGTATTATACTGGGTTTGACAAGTAAACAGAATGTGCATTAAAAAGAAAAAATGCGGCCCCGTCAGCTCGGTGTTGACTCATATAAAACAGTATGTCATGCTGCACTTTACAAGAAAGCGTCCTACCTTTATATTCAGTCTGAAGACAAAGCCCTCAGTCCTTGAACTGGTTTGCTGGGGCCTCTTCTCACTGTTTCTGTATAAGGCAGTATTTTGGCTGACATGCAGATACAGGAAACAGAGATCAGCTGCTCAGGGCATGTGATCGTTTTTTTGTCCTCGTCTTTGGTAACAATTTCTTGTAAAGAGAACCGCAATGTTACAAAGAAGGTGTGACCAGAGGAAGGCAGTAGCAGAAGGAAGTGGGTGCCTGCCTGTCTGCCACTCTGTCAGCATAGAGCCTGTGTTGCAAGGTTTGTCATTGCCTTCGCTGTAGGTTTGAATCTTGCTCGGTGGCACTGATGGAGGAGGCTTTTTGAAGGGCAGGAGGCAGCCATGTTGCGAACATTAGAGCAGACACAATCAGCACGACCACTGCTGAGTCTTATGATTTGCATATGATCAAATAATTAAATCTCCAAGCAGTCAGAGGAAGATCCCTTTAACCTTTAAGCCAGAGGTGTTTTTATTTTCTCATTTCCTCCCCCGTGAGTAACTAGGGGTATAAACAAAAACCCCTGTTTTTAATGATCTCCTTGATGCCATGTCTGTGGCATCAAGGAGATCAGAAAAGCTGAAAAAGGTCACTTTGATTAGAAAATTGCAGCTGATAGCAGGGTCAGTGGCAGCCATGTTGAATTGTCTCATGACCAAGTCCATGTGGTCTCTGTCTTTCACTAAAAGGGAAAATGATGAGCATCCATGGTCCCGGTCACAAGGCTGCAATCCGGAACCAAACCACGAAATTTTTTCCCAAATTAGTCACCAACTCTTCCGTTAATCACCTCCTCCTCAAGGAAGTGAAAGTAACAAAACAGTCTAAGAGAAGAGAGCACCACACCTAGCGTCCCCTGACCCCACCCCCCCACCGCCCTACACATACATACATACACACACACACACACACACACACACACTCATCTGAACTCGCATGTGTCATCACATTTTGCCAAAAGATCCATATCTGAACGATTCGTGAAGTACAGAGAAGTTGATTCAGGGGAATCTCATGATACAAAAAGGTGTTTGATTCAAAGCTGCTCACGTCAAACACTACCCACTGGTTTTGTCTCCTGTGAAGTCTTTAATTATATTTGGCACTAAACATAGTTTATATGCAGAAAAACACCAGCTGAAAGGGTGAATTTATTGATGAGTGCCAAATGGCTTTAACAGGACTGGCAGCCAAGCGCAAAATTTCAGTAAAGAAAAATAATCACGTTACCTGTTGCAACATACAATGACGGGTTTAAATAGTTTAAATGATGAATGGAATGAGATAAGATTAAATAATAAAACAATGTTTAACTTTATAACATAACACAGATTTATTGCAGGTCCTGCTCGACAAGCACAGCCTTCCTATCCATTTTCACTCTGCAATCACACACACACTCTCACACACACACACACACACACACACACAGAGTAGAACCTCTGGTGGGCCTCTTTAGGAAAGTCCCCAGATGCCAGACAGACAGACGGGGAGGGAGACAGTGTTGTGAGGTCACCTGGGTTGGTGGCGCTGCTGGTGTTTCTCTGTCCCAGGCCCGGCCAAGCAGAGACTAAAGTAATAACAATAATGCTTAACCTCCACACATTAATGTATGGGGCCAGGGGACACAGTTGCTCACTTTAGGCTGGCTGTAACTGCAAGTAAGTGCAGCGTTGTAGCTGAGACTGGTACAGTATGTAAATATGTGGTTGTACTTTGTGTCACTTAATCTTTCTCAGTCTTTCTCATTTTCGGTCGTCTCTCTCTCTGTTCTCTACTCTCTGTCTCTCTCTCCAGGAATGGGAACTGGTGGTGTTGGGGAAGTTGAAGTGGAACTTGGCAGCAGTAACGCCGAACGACTTCATCGAGCATATTGTGAGGAGGCTGCCGCTGCCCGAGGATAAGCTGGCACTTATACGCAAACATGTCCAGACCTTCATCGCCCTCTGTGCCACAGGTAGGACACAACGGGAGCTCGTGTTGTGCACGTTTCTGTGTTATTTGTCCAAATGAAGTGTGATATTTAATTGATTTGAAAGATGACCATGCAGAGTGCAACATCATCTCAATAGCATATCTTTTTTTTTTTTTTTTCGGTGTTGCAAGTGACACAGATCATGGATAAGCTGCCAAGTCAAACCAAGCGATAATGGATCTTGCATCAACATACTTTCTCGTGTTGCAAAATATCTTTATCTGCACATTCTTCCTTCAGCGCCATATCAAAGCCCTCTTCTCTCAATAACATGCGGCAACAGCTCTGTTCAGAGGTGTGCTGTGGGCCAGTCCCGGCCCGCCGTAACTTAAGTGAGATGCATTACCTCCAATGGGAAAGTATTCTGCCAAAGAAAAGCATGTGTCATGGAAGACATTTCAGCATTAGACTTTTAGGTCTGACGTCCATCATTTGTCTTCTCTCAGGCTGGTATGTGGTCATGTTTTAGAGGCATATCAGTGGCTTCCTGAGCATCCAGTGACACTTCAAAGCGCATTTAGTCTGGTTAAGGGGCATTCCCATGTCGCACAGGGTCGAGAAGAGGAATGGACAGGGGTGGAGGCAGGCAGGCCATTGTCTTTCTGCTCTCGAGGTGGAATTGTTCTCTCAAGATCAAACATCCAGTGAGTCGTGGGAGGGACAGGGAGCCTTTAACATGATCTGAAGAGCTGGAGAAGATGCAGGAGGGAACAGGGGAGTTTGGGAAAGCCAGAGGAGTGTATTGTTTTTGCACTGCCAATTCTAAGGCATGTCATGTTTTCATATCTCTTTCCTCTGCCGCCTTCCTTCCCTCCTTCTCTCCCCCCTAACTTCACACGCCTCCCCACCCTACAGCTGGAGGACATGATAGCTTTCCCATGTTGAGATTCTCCATAGGGCAGGTTTCTCCTGTTTGCGTCACCTCAAAATCCACTTTCAAAGCTACAAACAAGGCGTGAGTAGAGATAGGAAAGTATCACTTTTACTTGTCTTAAACATCTTTAAAGACCAGTCTTAACATTAATGAGGGAAATTGCACAATTCACCCACAATGAGGCTGTTAGGCACTCCTTTGTTCTTCACTTTCTGGATGACCCCCACCACCACCAGCTTCCTTTTCTGCAGGCCTCAAACAGGAATGCTAACTACACCCCCTCATGGGAAACAGCTCCTTCTGCTGACATCATTCAGAGGAGTGTGTGTATAGTTAGATGAATAGATACAAGGGAGGTGACAGGTATTTAAAACATAAAGTGATGGAATCCCCTGCACTTGTGCAATGGATATGATAGGGTGGGAAAAATGTTTGCAACAAAAGTTCATGTTTGCAAAGTTTTGGAAAAGAAACGCCTGTTTCCTCTCTTTCTCTGCATCACCCTTCACTTCACTCTCTCCCACTATCTCTTGCTCTCTCCTTGCCTCACCCCGCATCTCTCACCCTTTATTATGTGCCAGCGGATTAATGTGTGGAATGACAGCGTGTCAGTGATCGGACCTATTCCCAAAGCAACATTGTGAAAGACTCAGCATGCACTTTGTCCTTAATTGCTTCAATGAGGCAGTGGAAATAAATTTATGAGCCTCCCGGAGTCGTCCTCCTGACATTGTGTTTTAGGAGAGAGACTTTCTGGAGATAGCTCTGGATTAGCAACAGGCCATTTATCTGTGCATGCTCTCCTCAGATTTGTATCCAGGCAAACAGAGAGTGAGGGCAAGACGGAGAAAGAGAGAGCGCGAGTGAGTCAACAATTTGGTGCATCTGAAGATCTCTGGGAATTCGAAACCCCATTTGTGGAACGTTCCCAGCAGTAAATCTTATGGTTATCTGGTGAGAATCCTCCTTGAGACGTCTGAGCGGAGCTGAGAAGGTGAGGACGCAGCAGAAGGAGGAGATCTCTCAGGAGGATTTACATTTGCAAGACAGTTGACAACGGATCACCTGTGGCCTTCCTATTTCATACAGTCTCATTCAGCCCACCACCCACCACTACTCCCACCACTGCTGCCCCTATACTGAAAAAGAAAACATGCATAAAACCACGGCTCTCTGTTTTCAAGGGAACAAGAGAGAGAAGAGGAGAAGTGGAGAATAAGGCCTCTCATTCCTAATGGCTCCTCTCTTTTGATGAAACAGTTCCGTTCGGGCCACTCGGTGGGATTTTGTCAGGTGGCGCAGGCTGGCTCTGTATTAATTAATAACATTGGCTGGTCCATTCAGGACTATGCAAATGGCTCGGGAGCTCAGCTAGAGGCTGGGAGAAAGGAGACAAAAGGCTTGGCCCTTACATTTCATATGCAGAGCCATGCGAGGGTCAGCGCTGCGGGGCCACTTGATAGGAAACACCAGCGTTTCCCTGAGGCAGGCCGCCGTATAATAGCCCAGAAACAAGCTCATTAAGGGAGATTATGAACCTCCATTCCTACACACAGACACCAAGCACTCCGAGCTTCCTCTTCTATTCTTATTCAATTGAGGTAAAGTGGGAGAATGGACGGGGTGCATGGGGCAGACAGATGCACCCCAACCTGTCTGCTGCGGTTATTGAGCTCCGTCTTCTTGCCATATTGGCAGGGATTATGGTCTATTTTTTTTTATACGGACTCCAATAGCTCTCTCTGTAATGGTATGCATGGAATGGTGACAATAGTCATAGAAGTTGATCAAAAGAAAATTCTGGATCAGGGCCAACAGTGCTGTCCAAGAGAGAGTCAATTGTCCTGGAGGACACAATGAAGATTTTGCTACAAGTTGGGATGTAAATAACAAGTGATTTAAGTTAGTGAGTACTCGCTCTTTTATCTCAGAATAGTATTTGATTACTTTTCCTAGTGTGTAGATGTGTCTTTAGACTGTGTGAAGAAACATGATGATTAACTGGTCAGAGACAAACTAATGATTCACTAGCTAACAAACATGAGAGAAGTCGAGCTTTGCTGCATGAGTTCACTTTCCCTCGTGTATAACATCACTTTCTGTAACAAAGCTGAGGTTTAAATTTCGAACAAGTGTTTCCTCAAGGCCTCATGCGCATTTGTCCTCCCCACTAAAACCATACAAGCTGCAGAGTACTTTTATTTTGACAAACTTAAAGACATTTCCACCATATTTTGATGCAGAGGAGGCAACACCGATGCATGAAAATTCACCAGAATGCAGGAAATGAAGCTTTATTTAACTAGGAAGTCTGTTTAAAACCTCTTTTGCAAGTGAGACCTGGCCAAGACAGGGTCAAATAGAAGCATCAAATACAAACATCAAATTACAACAGCGATAATAGATATGTCAAAATACATTACATAATACAGTGCATTAACAAGGCAGCAATATTTAGTCTAAAATAAGCTGGTTAATAAAGCAGCTGCAGCTAGACCAGGGAAGGCACTTTAAACTGAAGCCATTTGTGTACCCTAAGATTATGACTGCTTTGCAAAGTGATGTTCGCAATTTCCTGGGGGAGGACCCCAAAGTCTCCACCCTTGGGAGTCTCCAGGAGTTTAGTTTGTGTAACATCTTCTAACCCTAAAGAAAGTTGGATGGCTGCTTTCATACACTTCCTCTGCTGTGTTTCATTTTTATTTTAAAGTAAAGAAGATATGCACAGCTGTCGTCAGAGCCTGACAGATATAGATTTTTCTGTATCCTACAGGTTCTCCAAGCTGCGTGCCTCACATTCTGAAGGCTTCTCTTCTGTACAGGAAGAGACACATTACAGGCAAATGTGCCAATTTTTATGCAACAGTGACCAGTCTAATATTGTCAGATGATTCACAACTCCTCTTTTCATCTTCGCTGTTGAGTCTCACTGGTCCCGAGGCAGGAATGCTCCTTGTAACTTCCTCTCCAAGTGGCTGCTGCACGGAGAATCCCCTCCAGGCTCTGTGCCGCATTCTAGAGATGAATGATTCATCTCAGATGTGGTCAATGAAATGGTCTTTACTGGTGTTTGTTTACATAAAAACCCCCTTCATGTCTGATGACTCAGAACCCTAACAAATTAGCTACCTCCTCCAACAAATTATCATCTCTCCACACGCTCCACTGATGTGAGGAATCATGTCCGGTCCGGCCGCACTGTCAACACGTGGAGCAGGAAGAAGCTTCCTGACAGTATGCGCCCAAAAATGTGACACACAGAGTGAATCATCGAGTGGCATGTCCTGAGTTCCTCCCCTTTCACCTCGCTGGTGTAATCAGCACCGCACTGTAAATACCGTGGCCAGCTGAGTCACAGCAGAAACACAAAGACAGAGATTTTTGCTTTGGAGGCTGCAATTATCCCACCAGAAAGATTTAGAAATCAAAATGTTTTTAAGCTCACATGTTTACCTTGGGGGTCATGTTAACCACAAAGACTAATATTTGTGATTTGAAGTAAAGTAAATGTTAGTGGCAGCTAGTTTGGCCTGGACATTTTTGTCATGACACCAGAATGTCTCTCAGTCCTTATCTCCATCCAGCTTTTTTTTCTGATTAGATGGTTTAATTACTTCAGCTGTGCTCCTAATTTTGTCCAAATCACATCAGCCAGAGAGATAGACATGATAGATAGAGAGTTTTGAATATTTCAACTAAGCACAAATAAAGTTACCAAATAATGCTTTTCCAATGTGGGGAACAGTGAGCGTGTCACATCCCACCTTTGATCTGAATCCAATCTGTATGCACCTCCTCACTCGACACTTCAAGGCTGCAGCTGTGACAGTGGAGATGATGGTGCAAGGCTGAGGAGCACTGTCACAGGATGCTACAATTAAGGAGGAATTCTGTTTTCTGGCAAATGAGCGGGGATCACAGTTGGAGCTGGGTGCGTGACTCAGACTCTCCCAAGTTTTGTTTGCTGTTTGTCTCCAGAGTGACAGTCTGGAACAAGAGGTAATGGAAGATGACAGATAGCAGTATCAAGTTATTGTCTCTTAATCAGCGATTTCTCCCCTTGTTACACGTGGAAGAACTCCTCAAGCCCAGTCGGGAACTTGTTGTTGTTTGTCTCGCAGAGCTCGGTGTACTGTCTGAGTAGCTCTCCACAGACCTTGTTTTGACTACCAGGCGGTGTTGCATTAGCGGTGAAACGTACTGTCATGCCAATCCCAAAATGATGTTTGTTTTTGGCCTTAATCAGTCAACAGGCCCTGGGTCCTCGTAATGCTACTCCTTTAATAAACAAGGTCAATAAGCACTACATGTATGGAATACAAGACCCTGATTTATAGCACTGGAAAGAGAGGGTGAGAAGGGGAGTTTGGGCTTTTTTTCTTTCTTCTTTTGGCTGTTGTTCAACTTTCCAACTTTAATTAATTTACAAGTTTAATGTGCAAACTGTGCATTGCAGCCACCCAAGAGGAGTGGGCCATGTAGGACAGCAGACTGTGTGACCAGAGGCCTGGGGATGAAGTTTCAGGGGGTAGGAACACGGACGAATGGAGATGAGGGGGCGCAGGGAGGAGAAAGGGCCATTGAAGGGGGTGAGAGGCGTGCAGGCCAGGCCAGCCAGCCGCTGCTCACAGGGAGCTTTCCATCGCAGGCGTCCCCACTCAGCTACATACACTGTTTATCCTCAACATGAATATCAATGAGGGCCTCCTAAAATACAGCCATTCTTTCCCCCCCCCCGCCACATGCAGCAGCCACCAGGCCGGAGTGTCAGCCTGCATCGGCTGCACGCGCGCGTCCTTGTTCTGCTACAGACCTGTCTTGTCTTGAGTGCGAAAAATCAGCTTGCTGCCCACTGTCCACCACTCAGCTCTCCCACAAACCTACGTCTGTGCTGTGTGTGTGTGTGTGTGTGTGTGTGTGTGTGTGTCTTAAAGCATGCAGACATCAGTACATTGTTCCTTGCCTGCGTCTCTTAGGTGTCTGCCTCCTTGCCTGTCAGTCTGCACTCACAACACACGTACAGTAAATCCATGTATGCCTTTGTCCTTCTACCCCTCTATAGAAAGTTGTGCTCTTACAGCAGTGATGTAATGCTGAGGGGCTTTGTGTGCTCTTTCCTCTTGGCTCGAGGTAGCCTTTAATAAATCGCCCCTTGGCAGAGGCCCAGCGGCTAACATAGGGGTGTATAATAAGTTCATTTATTTGTCAACACTGAGCCCACAAGATGAGAAAGCGCCTGGCTGTGCATGTTAAAAAGGCAGCGAGGGGCTGCCTTTACAGCTATCAAAGGGGCTACCTCTTTGATTCCAGATATAAAAAAAAAAGAAGGAAGAAAAATCTCCTTCATGGCCATCGCACGCAGTTTGCTTTGCAATTGAATATGGTAATATGTTAATGTGCAGGCTGTTTCTATGCCCCCACTGCCCACTCCTCCAACCCATAGGTGGCCCAGGAACAGAGGAATACTTGTGGGGCGGGGGGGTGGATGGGAGGCAGGAGGTGAGGGTCACTGGAGGGCGACTCTTTTCTTCTTCCAAAACCTCACAAGAGTCTGGACACAGACTTGAGAGTGATGTGCATCGGACTTGTCTGCCCCCTCTCCTCTCCCACCAAGCCCACCACCTTTCCTTCTTTTCTCCTTGTCGCCATTCCGTCCATCCCTCCTTCTTCATCTTCCTCCCCCCGTCGACCCCCGGTCCCCCCGTCCAGCCACACTCTTTGTCCAGTCTGTCTCTCTGAATTGGTATCAGCAGAGAGGGGATGGATGCTGTGTCTCTCAATTGGGTGAAATGAGGTGATGACTCTGGACAATGGAGTCACACTCTTCTGCCTTCCCTCTCGCAGGCCCGCCACTCTATTAATATGCTAAAAGATAGGAGGACCGCCAATGCAAACCACTGCCTGTTGTAGCAACAAAGACTGGGGCATGTGTGCCATTCACTGGCCCCATCTAAGCAGGCCATGTGTTGTCCAAAAAGAAAGGTAGAAGTTGAGCAAGACATAAAGAGAGAATAGAGAAAGGAGCGAGTGTGTGTATGTGTGTGTGTGTGTGTGTGTGTGTGAAGAGAAAAACTTTCTCTCTCCCTGTCTGTCTGTCTCCCTTGCTCTCTCTCCCCCTGTATGCCAGTTGCCTTGCCTTTTCGGGCTTCTGGCCCGTTCACAAGCTGTCTCATTTGCATTATGAATGACAGTGAGGGGAGCTAACAAGGTTATTGGTCTTTGAGACGCACGCCTGTGACCACACGTGGAAAAAGGACCTACAGCAGTGAGCATTGGCAGAGGCACTGAGCCTCTTTATTCCTCCCTTTCCAAGCGCTATGGGGCTTTTTTCAGCGAGCACACGATTTACTCAGGAGATGGAAGAAAAGGGGCCGGGCTGGGGAAAGGGGGACTGGGGTGGGGGAGCGGGTGAGGGTGGTTGCTTTTCAGCTCCTTTACAAGCCAAGTGAACCCTCATTATCCAGGCCCCTGGTCATTAGTGAGCACTGCGTTCAGACCCAGTGCAATAGAGGGATTATTTATTAGCTGACTGCTAGATTACCAAATCATATTGTCTCTGGGAGGGACGTATCTGTACCCTTTTTGTGGAGCATATGCATTGAAAAGTGCAATTTAGAAACCGCACCAGGTGAATAAAGAATCCAGTGTAAATCAGCTGTTTTTGTCATTTATCCACTGAACTAAAGATTTTAGCTCCTTGCTTAACGAAACAATAAATACGTCTTTGTATAATTTACAAATTAATAGCACTGGAGACACATTTGACTCAGTTAGTATTTCTTCCTCCAACAGATTTCAGATTCGCCATGTACCCTCCCTCCATGATTGCCACAGGAAGTGTGGGGGCAGCAATCTGCGGCCTACAGCTGGATTCAGCTGACCAGTCACAGTGGGGCGACAGCCTGACAGACCTGCTGGCCAAAATCACAAACACAGAAGTGGTGAGTTTGTTTTATACACTCCTACTCCTCCGTCACATCCACATTCATTGCAACATATGAACATATATATGTATATTGAATTTTATTTACTCATTTTCCCAAAACAAGAGCTGAGTTTAAATCACTGAAGTGAATTCCAGTGTGGTCTTGTTAGTCAGGGTTTAGCTAAGAGCGTGATACTTGTGTCTGGAAAATTTTGGGGGTGATGTTTCTGAGTAATATGTGAACAGGGAGGAGTAACTGTTGGTATCTCCGCTGACATCAGTTAGGTGTTTACTAATACAATTATTACAGTAAGTCTATGATTCAAAGCTGAATCAGCTGGTGCTGTCGTTTAAAGCTCAGTTTACATTTCCAGTGAAAAAACCACAATCAACTCATCTAATTTCCACTAAAACACACAGTTTTACAATCAGTTACTGTTAACAAGCAAATTCTTTTTTTCTCCCTCTCTCTACCAGACTTGCAATTTCTGTGAGGGAAAATATCCCTGTTATTTATGTCAAAAGTTAAGAAATGCCACATGTTTGTTGAAGTTGTGTGTTTGCAACAGACAGAAGTTGAAATGTTGAAATGTCACACTCAGATTTGGCTTCTTCACTGGGATTTGGCTTTCCACAAACCCATTTTGGGGGGTTCTACTGCCAATATTTGTCATGAGAAGAAAGAAATAAAAACGAGCATCAATCTACAACTAAGAATGTCTTCATTAAAAGCAGTCCTGAACTGAACTGCATCGGTTTATCTGCAGTCTCATCTGGCATACACTTGACCGGACTATGAGGTAGCATGTGGCAGGGTTTCCTCTCCATCAGTCTGGTCAGGCTGCTCAGGCCCCCCTCATATAAAGAATCCTCTAAATCGAGCCAGGTTGAGAGCATATACAGTATGCTTTGTCGCTGACAGGAATGCTGGCCAGGCCGTTGTGTGGCTGTCTGGGTACAGTGAATGTTGCGGTGGTGGGTGAGTTGAGTCCAAACACAGGCAGGGCCTCCACTGACTCTGAGATGCCTGGCTTTCATCACGCAAATGGGAGAGGGCTTCAGCTTGCTATAGCTCACTGTGAGGGTGAGTAGGTGGGCAAAGCCACAGAGGGTAAGGAGAGTGAGACTGTGAGGTGATAAGTCAATTGAAATTATTCTTTATTCGTCTCTTTAGGGGAATTAGTTTTCCGCATTTGATCCATCCTAACTATTCAGAAGCAGTGTGCAGCCGCAGCGCAGTGCCCAGGGACCAGCTCCAGGTCTGAGGCCACTGCCTTGGCAGGAATACCCCTAATACCAAACATGATGAAAGAGGCTTTTAGTTAGTAATGATTCAAACATGAACATTTTGAGCTCATGTGTGCTCAGTGCGCAGGGAGCAGATGAAAGGGCATGACATGGACCCCAAGCCTCAGCCCTGGTATGTTCTGTCCCAAAAGGAGGCAAAGTAGGAGGAGGGGGTGGAAGAAAGCTGTTGAAGTGTGAAAAGGACACTGAGGGAGGGGGTCATGCCTCCCTCGTGACAATCAGCCCTCTTTCGTCTCCTCCTATGGTCCATAATGCAGCACTGCTGGAAAGCATGGCTCCCTCTGGTGAGAGCTGTGTGAAGTCTCGCTCAGCAGCTGAGGAAAAACAAATAGCTGACCTCAGCAGCACAGGGCCTCAGTGTGTTTAGGCTGCAAGGTCTTAGACTTGAGGGAATTAAGTCGCTCTGTGTCTCTGTGATCAACTCTTCACATTCCTGGATTCAGACAAGCCATGGCTTGCAGTAAACACGGGAGGCAAAGCAGAGGGCACCCTTCCTAATTCAACATATATGAGAGGCTTTAGTATAAACTGCTGAGAAGCCAGCCAACACTAAACACATACAGAATATTTTGGTTTATAAAGTTACTTAAGCACTTACATCAGACTTGTGCACCACTTGTTATACAATGTATGAAGCACAGCCTAATGACAGAAGCCCAGAAGTACTTGTCAGCATTAATAAGTTGCTTCAGCTCTCTTTACACTGTTTGTCACTGATTGAGCTGTTTGGCTTTCATGCGCAAAAAAAGAGGAAATGGTGATCACTGACTGTGTCATTTTAACACTTACCCTACCTTCTTTTCCCAAAAGCTCAACCACTTTATACGTCAATTTAATACCCAAGGGTCACCTCAACCTCAATTTCGGCTGCAGTCATCAGGGTGGTGGTACAAACCTGAGTCTAAATGTGTACACATAACATACTGTATTTGGTTTTGGCAGGCTGTGTAGAGGCCCGGCAAGATGGTAGAGCAGCGTCTCGTAGCCAGCCAAAGAGCCAGGCAAAATATGAAGGCAAAGCAAGTTCCACCAACCTCTGCAGCTGCTGCTGCCAACAGCATCATGGCCAACGCCACCCCCCTGGCACCCTGCTGGCATCTGTGGTATCCAGAAGCTGTGGTTTTCCAGTGGAAATGTGATAGGGCCAAGTCACCGTCTTGGGCCGCTGGAGAATGTGTGTAGCCCCACATACACCTGGTGTGGCCAAGAGGGGCTCTCTGTTAGGGACAGCAGACGGGGCTGTGCGCCTGAGAGCCAAGCCATAATGTGCAGAGAGAAAATATGAAATTTGTGAGAATGTGTTGAGTTTCAAGTGGGAAGCTGATCAGCTGTGACTCCCCTAAAGAGCTCAGGTCATCTGTAGTGACAGTAAGAGAGCTGGAATAAAATTTAGACACACAGCACATGAAGGCCAAGCGTGTAGAGCTTCCTTTTATTCTTGAATGATAAAACAGGAAGTAGAGGGTAAAGAAGCACGAGGGTTAAAGACCACCACTTCCTAGATTTTATCGTTTGAGTCGATTTCTCTCAGTCTCTCATTCATCTTTTTTTTTTTCGGTCAGGGTCACACACTAAGACACCGGAAACATGTTTTCCTTTTCCTCCTGCTTTCATTCCTCTTTTTTAATCACTCAGGTTTCCCTTGTGGCCTAAATATCACTGAGACAGTCTCATACAAGTTGTACGATAGATGAATGTGAAATTGAAATGTGATTTTTCCTAGGGAGGAATTCAACAGCAGTGTGTGTTGAAGCAAGCATGCTTGCAACAAAGATGCATTTATTAAGAAAGATTATCTCTATTAACACAGCCTGTGGCGTCACCGCTTGTGGTGTTTCGGCATGCAGGCTAAAGAAAGAGAAAGGTCACATTTTCTATTGTAACTTGTGGAAATTCAAGTCATGCGGTGACTCCTTATTTCCAGTGTCAGCCTCCGGATATTTTGTTTTAAGGTTCCCTGAGATCCGTAGTGTGTGTCTGCCTGTATGTTTGTTTCAGCTGTCTGACCACCAAGTCCTCCCAGAGTAGCTAACACTGTCTTGTGTGGTACAGTCAGCAGTTAAAACACATTCCATGGCTTCACACATTTCTTCCTTTTGGTTTTGTCTGTCTGCACGACTTCCCCCCTACCGCCAGTGTCACAAAGGCTGCCCAGGGATAATGTGCATGCCTTGATTTGTCAGAAAGACAGATTGTTACAGTATGATGTATGTTTGAGGTGGGGCAGATGGAGGGCAGTTAACGACAAGGGAGGATCTGAGGTGGTTATGTGTTTTCCGGGTTGAGGCTACAAAATAAGATGCTTCAGTATAGCGCTACCTCCCATGGCCAACTTATTCAGTGCTGTTGGCCCCCTCAGTATCCAAGTACCTAGAGCTTCTCTGAAAACAGTATTGGTGTTTCCAGTAGTCACACATTGAAGTCATTAAAGTTTCTCGAATAAAGCCCATGGGGCTTGGCATGGGATCCGAACTGCTGCTCTAAAGTGCAGCAAAGACAGGGGGAGAATGTCTTTTAAGAAGTAAAGGCGTGCATTCTTGCGGTAAGACACAGGCAGTTCCTTTACATGTTCTTCGCTTTACTTAATTTTCTCACAGGAATTGAGATTTTATGACCAATGGGGCACATGTTGGTGGGAAGATTTTGTGTGTGTGTGTGAGCGTGCACACGCCCATGTTAGCGGCCGGCCTCTGGAGGAGATTAAGGGACAGACGCTGGTCGGGTTTCCTCCACGTCAGACCCATTGCCGAGGGAAAACGTTCTCCCAGAGGCACCCAGCCCAGACTAGTCCAACCTCCTCAACATCAAATCATTCTTCATGGATCGTGACCCAAAAAACTCTCAAACTAATCACAAGTCGATGCTGGAGAACTCAAAATAAAAGAGATGTCAAGACAAAAATGACTTCATGCAGACTTCAGATATCAGCAAAACCCCTCTAGGCTGAGTCATTTTGTCAGAGGTCATGCAATATAATAGAACTCTTAGTCTTCTTGTAGATTCAGCTTGCAAAGAAATCCTCCCTAACACTGTACACAGTACAGGATGCCAACAAATCACTGCTCTAAAAAGTTGCGTCAGTGTCAAAAACTCATGTAGTTTCCCGTCGACAACACGGTACAACTCACCCTGCAGTGTGTCACGCCTTTTGACCTTTGACACTGTGACCCTCAGTCACTCACCCGTGTGTTGCCAAAGAGCAATTCTGATGTGAGTGAGGCCTCAGTTCTTGTTTCATCAAGGCCCAGTGGCACCAGAAGCTGTAATACAGGCTCAAACTGTGGCCCATCAGGTTTAAATTAGCTGTAAATTTCTAAAGAATGTTTCCCCAGCTCCACAAGCAGTACACTTTCACCCATCCCTCCGGCCGTGGGGCGCTCTCAGTCATGTTTCCCACAGATGCCTGGTGCTTTAAGGCAGGGGGTCATGCGTGTGTGTGTGTGTGTGGGGGGGGGGGGGGGGGGTGTGTGTGTGTGTAGAGCTGAAAGCAAGCGACTCTGCCTCAGTTGTGCTATAGCATTTCACCACCAGAGAGCAGTGTTGATGCCCTATTAGCTCTTTCAGACAGGAACTTTCATATTTGTCCTGTTGCAGCAGCTCTTACTTCTGAAATTCTTTTCTCTACGCAATTCCTCACTCAAAAACAGTTTGACCTTTCTCTCATGCTCCTGCTAACAACCCATTAAGCACCGCTCTCCCCTTTACCCTCCCCCCACGTCTTCTTCTCCCCAGTCAGTTGCTCTCTCTTCTTGCGCTGCGCTGTCCCCTCTGTCAACCCTCCATCAGGGAAGGATATGAGGACTCAGCGCTCTTGAGAGGCTCCTCTCCCAGGTGGATTCTCAGATTGCCACGGCGGCCTTTGATGGTGAAAGGCGAGCCGGCTAGGTCTCGGATGGATCCCCCGCAGGCAGGCAGGCAGGCACACAGACTGGCTCTCGTTAAAAAAGCACCACCTTTGTGTTCCCACAGGAGGTGGATGTAATTAACATAGCTTTAGTACTACCTGTGTTTTCAGCCCGCCGTTGTCAAGGCTACTTCTGTTTGGGTTTTGTGTGTGTTTGGGAATGGCGGAGGTGGTGGGATAGGTGGGTGGTTGGATGGGGGAAGCAGTGGTGTGCATGCGCGGGTGTGCGCGTGTTAATGCATATATGTGCGTACGTGCACATGAGCACTATAGGGGTGGTGTTCAATTCACAACCCTGGTGGGCTGATGTAATGCTTGGGTCTGGTCCGTGTCTGTGCTCAGCCTTGGCAGTAGCTGGAGCAGCTAGAAAGTCGTGGTCATTTAAAACCCCTGGCCTACACTGCTCAGGGGCCCCTCTACTGCCTCACCAGGGGCCCCTGTTTCTCATGCATTGACTAAAGTTTTCAGATTGCTCTTGCTGCTTGTGATGATAGTTGCAGAAACCAGTTTCCTCACTGAGCAATCGTGGTACTTTATCTTTTGATAAAGAGCCTTTAAGCTTCATTATCAGCTTCCGTTGTAGTTCCCGCTACGATAGGTGTCACCAGTGCCACATTTTGTCACGATGACACACACACAGAGACTCACGAGGTAAAAAATGATACAAGCCGTTGTGACATTGCTGCAGCTGATAAAAAAAAGTTGTTTGCTCCTATATTAAACTGTAATGTCGTACTCTCTGAGTGACAAAAATCTGCCAATATGATGAGATAATTGATTCTTTCAGTTTTTTCAGGTGTCAAACAAAGCAAAAAGAGGGTGATCAATCCTCTTCTATGTCAAAACGGACACTTGAACATTCAAGAAAGTTTAATCGACTTGATCTGGAAATTAGAGAAACTTCCTGCCCCCGTTTGCAGATTAAAATGTATATATTTTTACAGCTTGTCCTCTCTCTTTTGTTGCATTGCAGGATGTTCTCAAAGAGTGCCAGGAGCAGATTGAGCGCGTGTTGGTGAGCAGCCTGCGCGAGGGGCGACAGCAGCAGCAGCAGCAACAGCAGACACAGAGAGGCCCCAGCGGGAAAGGCCTGGACGAGCTGGATCAATCCTCCACCCCGACAGACGTCCGCGATGTCAACTTGTGAACCACCAGAGGGCGTCGTTGCACAGGATTTACAACAACAAAAAATCATCATGAAAAAAACCCCCTCAATTTTGTTAAAAGCAGAAAAAAAAGAACAAAAGAACAAAAAATGTTAAAAACACAAGCCCTTTAAAAGAAAAAGAACAATGCTTGCTAGTTTTTTATTTGTAGATTTTCTGTTCTTCAAGTCCAAAACACCTACCCACGAAATAGATTTTCTGTGATGTTCTTGTCTAAAAGCAATGCATTTGATACAAGATGAAGCTCTGTGGTGCCTTGGATATACAGAAGGGAAGCCAATCATATTTGCATTCTGCCTTTGATTGTATAGTATGATCTTTAAGTTATATTTTAACCATAGCTTGATAATGAGGCTCTTATGTTAGAAGTTGTGGAAACCATTCAGAAAACTGCATACATGGGATCACAGTGGGGCTTAAGGTTTTTTTTCTGTTTTGTTTAATATGAGTATTATCACTATTACATTCGTGGCTGGTGTAAGAGAGGACGAGATCTCCCATCAGAAGAGACAGACAGAAGAAGCCGTGAGAACATTATGCTAAAAGTTGGTGGGTCCCAATTCCAGGGAACAGGCAGGATGATAATAATTATTGGTAGTATTAGTAATTATTATAATTAATATTATTATTGGACATATTTTTGGAACTCAGTAGTAGAGATCAATAAGCTCCTTTTGTCAGGCTGCTTGTGTGCGTCAGTGTTGGGGTGCAGTCTGCAAGCGTGTGTGTTTGTATGTGAGTATGCCAGTTTGCATGCATGCCTGTATGTGTGTTTGTGTGTGTGTGTGTGTTGTGTGTGGTGTATGAATGCTTCATGTGATCCTGTATCTATATTAGCAGTGTGCATTCGATGGTGTGAGGCAGTCGTAGCTATACAGTTCTTTGTTAAAAGACGATGGAGCGAGCGAAGGTTACACACACTTTGTCCGTCAGTATAACAGGGCATCTATGCGATATCACTGCCTTCATGCATTAACAATGTGTCATGGTTCATTATTGGCCAACAATAAACTATGACCGAAACAGAGAAAGACTTAGTGAAGGAGGACATGGGCGAAGGGGCCGTCACATAGAGCCCCTTTATCTGTCTAAGAGCATTTTTCCTGAGGTGTCTTGCCTCACACTCAGAGGTCATGTGAGGTGTTTGTTTATTACTGCCATTCTGTTAATGAAATATTACAGATACTTCATTCTTTTTCACGTTGTTACAATATGGTGTTTCTTAAGTTGTGAAAGGCTGCTTTGAGTCTGGAGAGTACTAATGACCTCCCATATGTGCAGTGTGTATGGCACATGTGCAAACAAGAGAGGACGATGTCTTGGAAGAAAGTAAGGCTGGAGGATGTCGGACTCCTCCATGTTAATTAGCAGGGAGGGAACAGGGTGTGGCGTGAGAAGACTTAGAAAGAGAGGGACAGTTTGCAACTAAGAAGTCACTGTGGAACTGTGGAAGGCACATGAGTGCACAGCACAGGATGGTAAGACAGAGCGGATTTTAGTGGTGCAGGAGCATGCTGCTGTGTGGAGGATTTACAGCCCGTGGCTGGAAGATGATAACAAAAGATGCCCAAAGGCCTCACGATGAAACTTTGATATCTGCATATTTGGATGGAATCAACATTCATTTCACATAATGGATGTCTACACCGACTCAGCTAAGTGAACTAAAACGTTCGGGGTTTCCATTTGCATGGAAATGAAATGAGGAACTAAGACTGTACGCTGCCAGATCATGTGAGGATGAACTTTTTTTGGGGTGGGGGGTGGGGGGGGGGGGGGGGGGGGGGGGGGGGGGGGGGTTGAGGAGTACAGGATGATAATATACTGTCAATGCATCTGGAGTCCCACATAGGGTTGTTTTTTTTTAGCTCCCCTATATGATTTCAGTGGCAAAGCACTTTGAGAACATGCTCCCCAGGAGATAAGTACAATGAAATGCGTTGGGTGGTGATTAGAGGTGAATGGATGTGTTCTTTTATTCCTTGTTAGCCTTTTCTTTGGTTTACTTTGTAGGGCTGGTTTCCCAATTGTCAGACATACCCTTGTCAAGCAAGAGTCAAATTAAAAAAGGCTTTCCACAACTTGCGACAAGAGGACATTCCGATCAGAAAAAAAGATTGAAAAACAAAAAAAACATTCCTATTAAAGCCAAGTGCTCGTTGATGGGGAGTCTGACTGTGTTCGAGAATTTGAACAAATCGAAAATGCCAATATGAATCTGAAAATGCCTACACAGAGTTCACTGATCCATGGGTTCTGTTTGATTTTATTTTACATTGTCAAGAAATGAAATATTTGTTTTTACTTGAATTTTTTTTTCTTCATATTTATCTGCGTCACAGCCACAGATAGTCACACAGGGCAGCGATGAGCTACAAGAGAGGGTGGTGGTAACATCCAATATTTGCACATGTTCTTCAGAGGGCAATGAGGTTTGCATTTAAAGACAGAGCAGAGCCTTTGTTCAGAAACCACCTTAACTGATGTGCGTTGCAGTGGTTGGTCAGTTTTCTATGGTGCTGGCTTCAGGCCGATTGTCTGTCAGTGAACACATGTGACCCCTGTGAGCTTTGCTGCTTTGAATCATTGGCAAGGGGGCTCATCAGCCAAACAGACATCAGCACAACACAAGAGACGGTTGATTTTTGTTTTGTTTTGTTTTCATGGGACACGTTACTTTGCCAACAGCAAGGTGTCTTCGACTTAATGCTTGAGTTTTTTTTCATGATGGTATGTGACTTTGCTGAGTGTATGTTTGTCAGACTGAAGAAAAATAAGGGGGATCTAATGTTAAAGTGATGCTTTTCAGTAAAACTTGGCAATTTAATGACACATTTGCCAAAACATCCCCGTCTGAATATTTGATATGACCTCTTCATTTTGCCTCTGTTTGCCTGATGTAAGCTCTCTCCCAAACTTAATGGTTGTGATTTTCTTTCCTGCAATTTACTGTTGCATGTGTTATATATTGAGACCACCTTTTTCAATTTGTGTTTGATATATTTTATGGGGTGACCAGACCCGCAAAAGGGGTCTTTCTAAGATTAAGAGATACTGTATTCCAAAGTGAAGAGAGGACAGAGGAGGAGGTGTGAAGACATCAAGAAAAAAGTGTCAATATTTTTATTGAGTTATTGTTGTCTTTTTGCGCTGCTAAAAGCTATGAATTTGTTTCATTTATACAAAAAATAACATTACCTAGTTGTGATGTGTCACTTGAGTGTGCTGCTATTTTATAAACATTTGTATTATAATATAATTATTTTACTGCTTAAGAGATACATTCAGAGAAAAAAAAAACGAAGTAGATGGTGATAGAAGAACATGAAATGAGTATTCGACTGGAAATGTTCTTTGTACAGTTTGACAGTTTGCTTAGATAGCATGTCTCCTTTCCCCCTTTTTTTATCTTATTTGCTCTCCTTCTTCAGTCACATTCTGCATCAGTGGTATTTCCTATACCTCAGGATTACTGGACAAAATAAAACACAAACAAATCCATCACCTATACCTCTGCAGTTAGGTAGCCTGGAACGGAGGAGATACAATACAGTGGGGGTGGAGGAGGAAAAGCAACAACACATTAACATTTTTGTGGATGATTCCCACTGTTTTAGTGGGGAAACAACTTGCTCAGTGAGATGGGAAACAGGAAATATGCAAGGTTTCCACTTGGACTTAACCTATAGTGGAGGGGGGGCATGACAACATTTCTCCGGGGGTGTTTATTCCGTAGATAGTTCAAGCATGTTCATTTCTGTTCATGTTGGTGCTACATCTGACTTGTTGTGTGCGAGATAGGGGAAAAATAAACAGCATTCCTATGATGGCCAAAGTACAGTTCTTGCTTTATACAACCACGATCACTCTGAATGTCAGTAAATATGGATTCTGTATGTAAGAAAGACATGTTTTGGTCTGAAATATTGTTTGTGCACACCATTGTAACTGCCACATAATAATGGGTTGAGCTACACCTGCCATGTCCAACCATAAATATTCTGATATCTGGAAGTTTCAATGGTGCAGATTTCCCTTTGAGTTGCCCCCCCTCCACTATAACTCATATCATGTACCTCAAATGTCTGTTGCACAACCTCTGTTCAATAAACTTCTGCTTTAAAGGGTGTGACACCACATCAGCTCACTATTTCCCACGCCTGTGTTCCTTTTAAGCTGTGTGTCTAATTGTTTCATGATCAGTACAGGAGTGTGTGTGTGTGTGTGTGTGTGTGTGTGTGCGCGTGTTTGTATGAGTGAGTCAGCAATGATACTACAGAGCAAAGTTCAGCTGTAGCACTTAATCACTTGAAAGCCACACAAAGCAGTGATGACGAACGTGGAACCATATGTCTTCCCCAGGCCAGAATGTGAGGAAGAGCAGTTATAAACACTCCCAGTAAATGTGTACATGCAGGAAAAAGGGATGTATTGATTTTCCAGGTCAGTCACATAAATCTGCCAGCAAAAGTTGAGGATATGCGCTGGTGGAAAAAAAGACTCTCGACCACTGACCACAGTTGACTGAGAGACAGACGTGATGGAGAACTTACAGTTTATAGAGATCTGCATGCTGCATAACCTGTTGACCTCCTGCTGCACTCCTCCTCATTCATCAGGACACATTATAGCTGCTTGCATGGTTTTTGTGGTATGGTGACATATATTATTTAATCTAGTGGTGAGCAAAAAGGATGGTTAGAACTTAGGACACAGATAAAAAATCTGGAAAATCTGGAGAAATGTCACAAATAGAGAAGGACTTCTGTTTCAAAAGAAAGTGTGTCAACATGTGCCCTCTTGTGGCAGCATTAATTCAAGCATAGTTGAGTCATTCACAGATATTATGACCAATAGACTTGTTGCCAACAGGTCTGTTTGTCATGACAAGTTCAAATAGTTGCATATTATTCATTCATTCATTCATTCATTCATTATCCATGTAGTGACTGGTCCTGTAGCACTACTGGATGCTGATTGTTTTTGTTTTGACGTGTACTCGGGCAAGGCAATAAACCAGCGAAAACTTCCTTTGCGTTTGAAATAATAATGTTCATTTAATTTCTTGCGGAAGCCACATACTTAATACTTGTCCACATAAATTATAAACAGAAAAACGCTCAAGCACAAGCACAAGCACAGTCGAAAACTGTTTGCTTCTCCCATCTAATCAGCCACACCTGTGCAACACTGAGTAACCTCAAGTAACCTGCCTGACCCCCCGCCAACATCCGGGTAGGGTCAGTAAACAAATGAAATACTGCCCCCTGTATTTTGGAGGTACAGAATAAATAAATAAACACAACATGGCTCCTACAATCCATAACCACTTATCCTGGTACATGGTCGCAGGGGGGCTGGAGCCTATCCCAGCTGACATTGAGCGAGAGGCGGGATACACCCTGGACGGGCCACCAGACTATCAAAGGGCTGACACATAGACACAGACAACCATTCATACTCACCCTCACACCCAAGGGCAGCATAAGCCCCGGTTTCAATGAACACTTTCGGTATGGTACCTTTGGACCCAAAAGTAACCCTTCAGACATGGTACCTAGACCCTAGCGTTTCCATCGTAAACAGTACTTTTAAATGTGGGCGGGGTTATGGTCACTCACTGCTGCATCCAGCTCTGACTGTATTTCCTCATTACCCATGACACAGATGTAAGTCTGCACCTTGTTTATCGTCCACAGAACGAGGCTGCATACTGACATGTTCAGAACAAAATCAAACAGGCTGCAGTGAGAGTCTCTCTCCATTGGATATTCAAGAATAGCGGGTTCGTGCATTTAGTCCTTCTAAAGCAAGCTCGGGGGTTTAGTAATGCCAGAGCCAACAGGAACGATGCTCCACAACACTTTCTTTTCCTCCGAGTGAGGATTAGAATATATGCAGTTCACATAACCCAGTCAAAATTAATATATTTAAACGCTTGAAGATCCACTCATTACTAAAAGTGTCTGTCTTATAAAAACTAAAGTAATGGTCAAAGTTGTCACAGTGAACTTTAAGGTGTGTTGACTGAGTCATGTCATCAACTCATGCGTTGAGTAACATTACAAGTTAACATTCCACCATGACTGTCACAGGCAGTCGACCCAGTCAATTAAGTTATTTTTCTCTCTGACTCCAGCTGCTGCAACCTTCCATTTTATAGTTAAAGTCTACTAATAAAACAGTATGAAGTTAGTTAGTTAGTTAATTAGTCATTACATAAGACTCAAAACCAGTCACAACTCAGCCCTGATCATTTGATTGACTGCAGTGTTCACAGCTCCACCTTTTAGTGTCAGATCTGTGTGTTCGATACCCCAGCAGAAGGGCTACCAAAAATCGATACCATCCACAACTTTTCGCAGTAGAAACAGGAATTAAGCATAGGCTACTGAACCTAACCTGCATGTCTTTGGTCTGTGGGAAGAGAGACTCCCCTTGACACAGGGAGAACATGCAAACTTTACACAAATGGACTAGCCAATGAGTTCAAACCCCAAAACCCAACCCTTGCTGTGAGGCAACAATGCTAACCACTGCACCACCACTATATTTTATTCATTTTAAATACCTCCTGAACCCCAAATCCCCAAACAAAAAAAAAAAAAAAAATTATCATTGGATTTTCGATTTCCGACGGTTACTAAACACCTCATGGGGGAAAAGAAAAATCATTGGTAACTATGGTTATTTATGGTGGATTTAGTGGTGCATGGTGTAGCCTATTTATGGTGCTCAGGGAGGCTCAAGATTAAATTAATAATTAAATAAATAAAACGAAGTCACACCGAAGCCACGCCCCTTTAGATAAGTAGAGCACAGTCCCCAAACGTCTCTGGTGTTAAACATGTCACCAATAACTTGTACTAACCCACTACTTCTTAAAGTAGCCTAACTCAGACACTGTAGCTGTGGCGTGTTCTGCCAACAGTGTTGAACTTTGTGTGAGACATTTCCTCTGCAGTCGAGACGTGTAGGACCAACGTTAGTCGTCTTCAGGGCAGTTTAACCACCTTAATGCGATATTACTCCGTCGTTAACCTCCAGAGCATGAAGGCGCTAACATTTGGGATGACTCTTGTCCGACAGTAAGTGCATTTGACAGTCATGTTTAGTGTTTATGGTAAATGTCATATGTTTAGCACAGAGGCTCCGAGTGCTGCATGTCGCTCCCATTTATAGAAGGGCACCTATGAGCTAGTTTTATAGGCGAAAATAAATAATATGTCGTCAAATTCATATAGGCCTGTGTGGATAATTAATATACATATGTGGGGAATTGATAGCAAACACGTGAAGCTTCGTTGGAGAGCCCAGCTGTACTTTCAAAGTTGGTTACATGACTGAAGTCTGTGGTTTGCATTCATTTAGCATTAGCTAGTTAGATGCTAACCCCAGCAGGTGTCACTCACTACTGATAGACACAGAGAGACCAGAGAGGTGTTAGCCTCAATTTCCAACATAGCTTAATTTTGTAATAGCATTAGCATACGCAGAACCGTTATTTCAGCCTCTTAGCTAACGGGCAGCTAGCAAGCTTTAAGGGCCCGTGTTAAACTCTCAGTCCTCTTCATGGTACTCTGTAACATTACACTCACCTCTGGTTCAGTGTGTGGACACTGCAGTACCTGATGAGGACCACCAGAGGTCAGCATTAATCAATGAATGAACTTCCCCTATTAAATCACAGTGTTATTATCAGGTGAAACCAAATCTGTCAAATGAAACATGGACATATGGTTCTCAAATTTGGTTTAATATGAAAACAGTTTGAATGTTATGATAATAAACGTATGAGATGTAAATTAAACCCACCTTTTAATATTATAGACTGTTTCTGAGTCACAGACAGAACATTTTATACAATTTATAACACATCTGAGTGTCAGGTAAAGTTATGCAAATAAAACCAGAATCAGTAAGACACTGCAGATGAAAATTAGCCGGCAATAATTTCGATATTTGATTAACTGACTAACTCAGTTACTTTAGACTCGACTAAAACTGGTTCCAGCTTCTCTAGTTCAAGATTTGCTGCTTTTTTTTTGTATTTATTGTAGATTAAATATTGTTTGGTTTTGGACTTTTGGTCAGACAAAAGCAATTTGAAGACTTTAAGTTATTTTGGGTTTTGGGAAATTATGAAAGGCAGCTCAGTGTTTTCTGATTTTTTTCATAGTCTAATATGTTGATCAATCAAATAATTGATACATAAATTGATGTCTAGTTGACAATGTCATAACAACTGTCAGGCAGACAACTTCTAATAAAAAGTTACCATGCCAGAAAATTTGGGCCATCAAGTGCAGTGACTGTAGGTGCGACCATCTGCCTACTGAAATGTGTTTGAGCAAAACAGTTATACAGCAAAGATATCTCCTTATGCATATATGACAATGGGCATGACATCAAATTTCTGAGAGTCAAACAGTAGCTTCTTTACCCAGTCTGTTTATGACATTAGCTTTTGTGCTTCAATATAAAAATTATTTATGTCCTGCAGTGGGGAAACACAGTACAATAAAGAAGGCCTGCTGCAAGGTATGACTGAAGACATCTGCGCCAAAAAAATAATATCACTCAATCTGTCTTTTTTTCCTTGTCTTACCTTCATCTTTCCCTCTTCCTCCACACAGGCCAGGCTATAGATTCACCCTTGTCTGACATCGGGCTGCAGCAGGCTGAGGCTGCAGGCCGTTACCTGAAAGATGTCAAATTCAGCAACGTGTTTGTCAGTGACATGCTGCGGGCCAAACAGGTATGATGCTTTTGTTTTACAGTGGGAGGTAGCGATGAATCTTTACATAAAAATCAATCAAAACCCTACAGGGTGTGTTTATTTTATTGTTTGATTAGAGCTCACATCTGGGGGGAAAAAACAAAAACTTTATAAAACTTCACCTCTTCTATAGAGAGATAATGACAATATGTCACATTGTGTCAGTATGTGATGAGATGATGATGATGATGTGTGTTTTTTCTTCCAGACTGCTGAAGCAATAATGAAACACAACAATAGTTGTTCTGGTCTACAGATGGCGTGTGACCCTTTACTTAAAGAGAAAGTAAGTGACAGTGTGTGATTTTACAGCTTTATAGCAAAGTGTTTTCTCACTTAAACATTTAGTTATTAATGAAAACACTGAGTCATGCAGTTATTGACTTGTTGTTTTTCAGAGCTTTGGGATAGCAGAGGGGCAACGGGTGCGGGAAGTGAAAGAGATGGCCAAGGCAGCCGGTCAGTCATTTCCAATCTTCACTCCTCCAAACGGGGAGACGCAGGAGCAGGTGAGGCTGGGGATGTAGCTGTGATAGAAGGATTGATCTGTTTCTCTGTTATTTCATTATTTATGTGGGTATTATTCATTTCTCTCTCTTGCCTCCTCCCTGTCATTTACCATTTATGTTTGTCTATCTCACTCTTGTCACTGTCTCTTCTTGGAAGAAATTGCTGAAGATGGTACAGCATGGCATACTTTGCACAGGATAGCATTAATACTAGAAGCTTTTATTTATTTACTTACTTTCCTACATACTGATCTCCAAGTTTCGCAGTGTCTTCGCATGTCGCATGAAGTTTGAAAATAAAACGCAGTCAGTGTGTAAATCAGCATCGAATCATCATCAGAAAATCCTGATACGAAATCACTACTCCCCAACACTGCACAGGGGTGTATGAAAACCTTTATATAGTTGTTTTGTAATTTTAAAATGATCTCAAACAAATAGACTTAGAATTGGAAAGACCCTCTTAACCCTTGAGATACTTATGATAGTGAAATTAAATCTTTATCCTCATTTAACTCCAGTTATAGATCCGTCCTGAATGCCCTGGTGCAATACACACATGTGACCACTAGGTGGCAGAAAACGCTAATTTCCTCAGTTAACCAATTTTTCTGAATGGATGTAACATGCTGGCTCAGGGCCTCTTTGCATCCACATGATTGTATATCTTTGGCATCTGCCAGAGCTGTTGGTTTGAATCAGGAGGATCAAAGTACATGCCCTTCCACTGTCAAACAACTGCAGAGTGTTCGTCACTACCCCGATTAAAAAGTCACCACTTAGCTTTGTGTTATTTGTGTTAGAGCCTGCGTGGGAGGACAGCCTGTGTGCGGGGGCGTCGGAAGGAGGGATGTTCTATTTCAAAAATACCTCATCAGGCTTCATCCATTAGATCTTGGCTTGGACGTTAACTCTGGTCCAGCCCAGTACGTGACCAGCACATCATGATGATGATGCAGATATACAAAGATAGATTTGACGCAAGCAGCGAGTGCCCCAATCAGTGTCGACCACAGGCCTCCCTCCCAGCTTTCCTAAACGAGTTACAGGTTGTTGCATCAGGAAGAAACTGAAGTCAGCATGTGTGATGTCGATGGCATTGTGCCAATGTTGTTTTGAATTTAACAACCTTTAACTTTTATCCTTCACAGTCGCAGGCAGTCACATTTCATTGACATGTGCTCTTAGTGTAGTAAGAAAATGTAAGAGAAGCATGACACAGTTTATAACAGGTTTTTGCTCTGTTCAGGTGACGGAGCGGGTCAAAGAGTTTCTGGAGAAAATGCTTCAGCAAATCGGGGCTGAACACTGGCGTGACAGAGGGGAGGATGGAATCTCAGAAGCATCTCCTGTGGAGGGAAAGGCAGACGATGGGGTCAGGGGTGTCCCGGTCCACGCTTTGGTTGTCAGCCACGGGGCCTACATGTGTGTGGCGGTGCGCTTCCTTGTGGAGGAGTTACACTGCTCCTTGCCTCCGGGTTCTGACAAAGCACACTTGTTCTCTTTAAGTCCTAACACAGGTCTGTGTCGGTTTATACTAAACATGCGGAAAGAGGACGACAGGTTCAAATTGTCCGGGATCCGTTGTGTGTTCGCTCACAGAGGGGACCATGTTAAACAGTAGGAGAAACATACAATGTTAAAAAGCTCCACACACTCAACACTGACAGTTTACAGTTGTAAAAGATTTTATTTATAGGTTCTGTATTTATTTTTCATTTGGTGCTCAGTCACCTCACGGCACAGTTTGATCACATATTGAAATGGATGGATCAAATCCTTGTTGTTCAATATTAGCATGTTTTCACAATGGAACTGTGAAACAAAAAAATGTTAGGTCAAGTGTTTAGGTGCTATTTATTATTATATAGTTGTGTGGCTCTCAGCCTTGTCTTGTATCAAGGATCCCTGAATGAATAAAACAGTAGGTTATGGACCCTCACTTGAAAAGATATAACTTAGGGGACCTCCATCTGAAAAGACTTTGGTCATTAGATCCTATGATCAGAATAGTCACTCTTGTGACTCTAACTCACATTGGGCTCGCTTCTATAGTGAATTAAATAGTGATGATAAATTATTCCCCATTTTTCTTGGGACCCCCTAAAATGCTTAAATTAATTGAATTTGAATTGAATCCAGTTTAAATTCGCCAAGATAAATGACTAAATACATCTGCATTATTTTTTTACAGTGGACTCCAACAAAATCTGTTTTACATTCAAGCTCTGAATGCTGGTTCATAAGTTGAGCAATGTCATTTAAACTCAGGTAGATGGTTTGTGTTGCAAGGCAGTGTCATCATCACTTTGTTACTGTCTGGCTGTTCATTACTGTAAATGCAGGCAGCTTTTTGCTCTAATGAGTTCGTGTTTCTATATTTATTCTCCGGAAGTTCAGAGATCCTTTGCAGGAACACGGAGCAGGACTGCAACAGTGTTGACTTTTTTGGAAATCAGTGACTTTGTCATTGTTGGGAATTAACGCTTTGGTCAACAAGGGCAAGTGCATTCAAGAAAGAGTGCATGCATGTTGTGTGTTACTGAAGTATGGATGCACTGTTTCTCTACTTTTCATTCCTCTCTCAGTGTAAAACAAAATCATGTGCTGACTGCTGAGCTGGATTGTATGAAAAAACATTGTGCAGTTTCTATTGCTGTTGTTACTCTGATTCTGTAACTGAAAACACTTTATAATGTAGGAAAACTGTCAGACTTGACCAGGTTAGTCTATTTTTTAAATTAGGCAATGTAGCTGTTAATGTTTCTGTATCATAGTGGGATTTGTGGAAACTTGCCAACAGTGATAAAAGATCCTTTTCAGCCGAAACTCCCTAAAAAAAACCCCTGATATTCAATCTGTGCTGGTTCTCATCTGTTCATATTTGCATTATATACACCCTTGAACTTTACATTTTGATTTACAAACATGTTCTAGCCTAGAATATATCGTTTCAGTAAGTATGCATCTTCATTTGTATCATTATCTACAATATTTGACATGCATTTCATTTGGACCGAGGCAGTATTATTAGGATCAGGATTATTATGCCTATTAGTATTAATAGGATGTGTCCCCCCACATAAATAAACTGGTTGTACTACTGTGGTGTACTGCAGGTCTGCGTGTGATTTCAGCAAGTGGTGTCAGCGTACCACAGCAAAAGCCAATGTCCGGCTCACTAAAATGGCCTTCAGTCATCAAAACCTTAAAAACTCCTAGTGATTTTTCATATTTCTCTAAAATGGTCAATTTTACCTGACCCCTCTTGAGGCTTCGGTCGCAGAAGGTGTTGATTAATGTTGAGTAGCCAAGCATGGCGCTGATTTAGACATTATTTGTCCAGGTCTAATATTTGCCAGTTACATAACTAATTGGCTGTGTGGATAATAACAATGTGACTTTTGTGGCCTTTCTTTGGGAAATAATTGGATGGTGAGCTAAAGAGTGAGCGGCAATTATCTGTTGTTCTAGCAGGCTGTGTGCAGGGACCATAATGTCTGTGGCCAGGGACGTTTTAAATGTTAAAGTAATTCTTAAGTGACTCGTTGGTAGCCGTAACTTTGGTAAGGCACCCCAATGAAAATGTGAAACTAAGAGGAGAGGAAAGCATCATTTATTCCCAGTGTTGTACAGACAAATCAGACAGACGATCCACAGAATAGTCACCATTTATTTTTCCACATTAGAAACAACACAACTTGAAATATATAAATAATATAACAGAAGGCTAAGAAGGAAGTCATTTAACACATTTCAATAAATAAATACCTTTTCATCGCTGTGACTACTGGTGTCCGGCACCTGACATTATTTGATCCTGTTTATGTTATGTTATGGCAACAAACAAACAGCAGATGATTTTTTTTTTTTTGTTTTCATTATGCGCTGGTCTATTTTTGTTACGTTTGTAAACTCCTGTCATGAAGCTTTACTGTATCAACACATCTATGTATAAATATTCATAATTACTTACAGATTACACATGTTCACATATGCAAAACAAACATTGCCACATCTGGCCCGAGGTTTAAAATTTAACTGACAATAGAGGTTAAAGGACAGCAGGACCGACGCTGGACCAAACTTGCTGCATGATTATGTAGAATGTTGCCAAACTTATCCTTCGTCTGCTGTTCAAACAGAGGGTCTGTACAAGCTGCTGTGATGTAACACGGTTTGTGAGTACATTACCGAGCGTAATGGTACCGTAAAAACAAATTCTGAACATTTTGATTGAAAGTTTTTATAAAATGCGGTCTCTTTTCTCAGAAGTTGTAAAATCTCGAATGCTTTCCTGTGTAAGAAACAACCCTTGTATGTCATTGTGTGGCTCTCACTCACACTGCAGTCCACAAATGCAGTATCTACTCTGACCAAGCAGTCAAACATGAAGTGAGATTTCAGAACAAACATGAAGACGTGCAGCCCTTCTTTGACATTTCACTCATTAAACCCAAGTTCAGTATCTTAGTCTTGTTCTGCCCGGTCTGCAATATTAGTCTTGACAGGACTGACAGGTCCGTTGGACTGTAAGACCCGCAGGGGGTCGTCACAGGAGGTGATGGTCTCTTTGGACACAGCACCGGCCTGGTCCTGCTCAGGCTGCCCGTGATCTGCGTCCTTGTGATCCGTGGCAGGATGTGAGGGATGTGATTGTGATTGTAATGGATCCGAGGGGTTCACCTCCTCGCTCCTCCTCTGTCTCTTCACCAAGGGACCCAGGAGCCTCTTCACCAGGGCTGAGGCGGGTTCAGGCGGCTCCTGGTGAGCAACTCGCAGCTCAGCTCCCTCCAGTTTGAGCAGCCGGCCCCCACTTGTAGAGTAAAACACATCACGGTGGTTCACCACATCTAACCAAATGCGCTGGAAGAGACAGTCTTCTCTGTTTTTTTGCCTCTGTTCAGTAGAAAAAAAGCAGACAAAAATGTTTAATGTTACTGTTTTACGCATTTCCTGGCGTCACTCAAATGAAGTGCATCTAAAAAAAATACTCACAGAGTTGTACAGCTCTCCGTTTGAGTCCATGCAGAGGAAGCGTTTTCTTCTCAAGTCAAATATAGACACAAAGTTGCCTGAATCTTTTCTTACTGGCAAGATAACTGCAAGAAAACAGGTTTAAACATGCCGTCATTAGTTATGAAAATCTCATATACTGAATATTATGAACAGTTTAAGAAACATGTTTCAACATGAACATGTCTGGCTGCCAGAGATCTTGTTTGTTTGTATAGATGACATGCAAAATATGCACCTAAATTACAACATATATTTGTACATTTATCCATTTCCAGGATTTTATCTTGTGTAGCTATAAAAATATTTATTGCCCATTGTTTTATATTTTAGAAACATTTGGGGACATATATATATGTAAAGCATGCTATTGCCCTTTGAGAAATGAAATGGTGCTGGTGCTAAAAGGCTTTTATTTTGTGAATTAATGAATGAATCTGTAATGAAACAAATGATATCTTTATGGATCTAGGCAGACTTACCCATAAAGTGTCTGTGACTGCCTTTGCTCATTGATCCACTCAGTTCCAAGTAGAAACGTCCCGTTCCAGCAGATGTTTCCACATGTGCCTCCGTGTTGAAGCTGCTCTGCTGATGTTGTAAAAGTTGCTCTGGGTCCCGGAGCCTCGGTGCACAATCCACCGGTACACACACATGTACGGCAATCAGGATGAGCGAGAAGAAAGCCGGGTGCATGATCAATGGGAATGCCGTGCTGTCTTTGCTCCTAACAGCACAAATGTTAAGGTTTGGTGTGTGAGCAGCTACTGGAGGAGGAGAAAGTCCAACAGGTCTATTTAAACAGAGGGTCGATGAACCAGCTAACTCATTTACCAAAATGACAGCCTACCTGTTTTTCTTTGGTTATGAGGAGGTGGAGGAGCCTATAGCTGACGTTCCTGCAGGCTCTAACTGGTAAAATACCATTTTATCTGCTTAGGAGACAAAAGGTTTATAACTCTAACTGGAAATACCTCTGTGAAAACTTTCTGCTGTAGATGGCTGTAGATTATTTACTCTGTTGAAAGCTAAAAAAAAATCTAACACAAAGATTAAACTTGTGACTCCAGAGGCAGAGGAGAGGATGAAGAGAGCAGAAGATTTAAAATGATGAAGGAGACGGTGACTCAACTTCACTCATCTGTGTCTTTAAACAAGAAAAACTAAGGTAAGAATAACAAACTTCCCAAACTACCTGTATAATCTTTATTTTTTGTACTTTATTGATTGATTTGTTTGAATCAGACTTTGAAAACAACAAGTAGAGTTGGGATTCTGGCACACACAATTCACCTGCCTGGATAGTTCATGGAAGGGGAGCTCTTAATTACAAAACATTTAGTATAAAGAACAACATGTTCTCAAGCCCACAGGCCAAAATCAGTAAATGATACCTTTACGACATATAGGTAGAAATTACTGATCATTGATGGTGATTTAATACTTTTGTGTCACACCTCTCCAAGGAAAATGACTCATGCCTTGCTTATGAATTAACTACACACATCCCCCGCTTCTCACTCCCTTTGTGGCCGCATTTTTTGGTGGTTTTATATTTTTACCTCCTTAAAGAAGTGAGAAAATTCCTCACCATTCATTCGTTTATTTATATTCTGAGCCTTAAGTAATATTTAGAGCAAGTGTCAGATGGTAAATGCCAGCACAGCCTGTGTACCATATAATGAGATGCGATACAGTTTTATTGTCAGTTTACACTGACATTCATTTTGCATCCTGAGGCAGCTTCGTTTAAGAAATGTACACACAGGTTGAGCATACAGTTACACGTGTGGCACTTCTCATAGACATACCAAACGCATAAAACAGCCATGTTAATTACACACACAACATTATATCCACTGGGATTTACATATCAGTTAGCAGCACACTGATTTAAGTTTAACAACAGGATAGAGTGAAATATAAATTAATCCTTCAGCCTGTAATGTTTAAGTGGAGGAACTCTAAATCGCCTATTTGTTAGAAGTTGGTAGTCTCTGTTTAAAACATGCAACGAGTCAGATGAGTTGCTTTAAAGGAGTGAGCTACAGGTTGGCCAATACTCTTGGCCAATTTTGACTTGATAATATAGTTTGGTTTTAAGTTTTACAGATAGGCTGCTGAGCCAGATCGTACTGCGGTACAGCAAGACACTCTGAATCAATGATTTAGAAAACTGAAAAATAATCTGGCTACTGCTCCAAAAGATCTGAGGCTACGAAGAAAGTAAATAAGTTGCTGTATCCTCTTGCGAATAAATTCTAAATGAGGAGTCCAAACAGGTATTTCAATGAAGAGACTGTTTCAGCATTGTGAATGTCACTACTGCATAGGTGCATATTAACGAGCAGAGTTATGAGTATACATTTTGGGCTCCCTGGAAGAATATGACACCACAGAGAAAGATTCAGTGTAGGACTCAACCTCTTGAGCGGTGATAGTATTGTACTTATTGCTGAGGCCAAAAAACAGTGTATGTTTACATGTACATAAATAGAGATGAAGGTTATTAATTTGCTGTGTTGAGTTGGAAAAGCAGTTTATTTTTCAGAGGAATTTCCTTAAAATAATTGCTCCGTTTAAACCAAAGCAGATATTCATTCCTCATTCATTTATTATCAGAAACTTTATTCTTCATATATGTTGACTTGAAGTTTGACTTTTTTTAGTTGTTGTTGTTGTTGTTGACATTTTTCAACATTCACTTGACCAACTGTGCACTGACTAAAAGACTCTATGTGTGATGTTAATTTAGCATTTAATTCATGGTGGACGAGCCAAATTACAGTTATGTCCAGCTTACCAGGAAATGACAAAAACAATCCTATTACTGCAATTTGTACTAATTTCTGTTTCAGTTTCAGTTCAATTTCATCCACATTTACCTGTTGTCAGCTCCACCAGTAGAGGGCGCCACATACTGGCTCATGGTAATTCATTGAACATGACTTTGACTTTAGGTTTAACATTTTCCTCCCCAGTCTCTATAATAATCCTATAATAAATCTGTCCAAGGGTCAGGAAGCATGACGAAGCAAACTTTAAAGCATTAAATCACAACAGCTTTTACAAAACGTCTTTTATTATCATCTCAGGAATACAGTTGACTGCTGTGCACAGCACATACGTACAAAAATAAAAGGAAAACCATTTGTAATATAGTATTTTACGTACTCATCATCATATTTTTTTTCAGAAACAAATGATTGGAGAAGTCTGTTGTTTCAAACTAATTTACAATCATTTCAATAATCGGAACTAAGGCAGAAGGTGAGGTATATGTTAAAAAAGAGGAGGGGGACTCAGAGGAAGCACTCTCCCCTCAGTGCAGGAATAGAAAACTGAGAGAGAAACACAAAGGCTGCCGGCACACAGGGACACACGCACACACAGAGACACACACACACACGCACGCATACACAAATCTGATCCCAGATCCTCCAACAGACCTCCAGTTCCCTGTGAACCAACACATTTTAAAACCAGCTGAACAGGTATGATAAGCACAATGGCAGAATCCAGACACTGGATCCTTAATCAAAGGGCTGAACTGCTATGTAGTCCGTTCAGAACTCTATATGCATAATGCAGAATGAAGCAAATAAAGGTTCATGTTGAAATGTGACACACCATTAACAACGTTCTCTCAGTACAACCTTTTCTGCCTCCAAAATAACATCATGCAGAAGTTGTAGGACTTGTAACAGAGTAATATTTCTCAAGCTTTGAAAATGTGACACTGTGCCGAGTTGTTTTTGGAGTAAACAACTTATCAGATTTCCCTTACTACTTGAGAAGCCATTGTAACTTTACAATTCCCATTCAACTCATGGCTGGTTGTGTCGACAGTGTCCTCTGAAACATACCGTAAGAAATCAGAAGTGACATACAGTAATAAACACAATGTTGTCATCAAAAACAAGTGCTTGTGATCTTGCATGTCGGCTTGTTTTGATGAAAGTGTAGCGAGGGAAAACAGCATCCCTGCTCAGTAAATTGCACTCCATTAAAAAAATTAAATTAAATAAAAATGCACCTTTTGTATATTTTGGCTTATCAGCCAAAATACGTCCTCAACCAAATCCTCACTGCCACGAAATCAGTCCAGAAAAAAAGCTACAAGTGATCATTTTCTGATCATAGTGATCGCATAAAGGCTCACCAGTCACAATGAGTAACAAGATGCTCAAGGCAAAACCCCCCCCAACACGATTATCAGTGGTGACAATATTTAAAAACGATAAACATCCTGGGAGTGTCAAGTTGCTCTCTTGGATCACAGTATTCAGTCCACCAGACAACTTGTATGACTCAAGTGTCCCTTTCCTGGAAGCATTTGATTCTTTTTAAGTGGCCGTTTGCTACATAACTACCAGCTCAAATCACAGTCAGTGCTTTCTTTTGACAGACATCCCTCAGTAGCCTCTGTGTCGCCTCTTTCCATGCCTCTCGTCTTCATGCTCTCCTTTGAGGGAGAGCACAGTACATCAGCTTGCACAGTCAGACAATGCCCTGTTATTCCTGACTCAAGGTAAATTGATCTGATACCATCTCTACTGTCGCTTTGGCAGAAACAGAACATGACAGGAGCGTGCTCAGTTGGACACATGCACACACGCACACACATGCACACACACGCTACAAACACACTCACTCTGACCAAATACTGCACATTCGCCTCTGCTACTAGACATAAGCTGGAGCTTAAAGGGCACGTAAACCATTGCTCACAGACATTCTGTCAGTGCGTTACAGTAATGTTAGAAAGGGCATGAGGTAAAATATGATAACATATATCTATAGCTTGCTACTTTTCTTTGATCATATTTCACCAAACTGGCCTGACTGGTGGTTTGCTACTTACAGAATATTGCAGGTCAAGTACCAAAATATAATCATAAATCATAAAAAAAAATCTAGCTCAATTGCACCAGTAGTACGAGACAGGAGCAGAATCTTTCATATCTTCATTGCACATTACAAGACGACCATTTTTGAGTTGAGCAGGAAATAGCATAACAGGTGCAGCGCTCCATAAAAGAACGAAAGTTGTTGAGATGGAGCATAAAACACGCCTACATCAGTAGCACAAAGGACAGAAAGCCCATATCTTCGACCTTGGTACAAAAATGGCTCAGATGAATGGAACAAGAATCCCAGGGCCCTGCGCTGACTGTCCAGTCTGACATCAACAAACGAGGGGGCCCACGCGTCTGATGCTCAGGTATTTTACCCTACATTATTCACATCCTTGCCAAGTTAAACAAACAACCAGTGCCACATGCAGAGTCCCATGTAAGTCCTCTGTACATCATTGCTATCTTCATCTTCGCTCGCTCTTTGTCCTCCTCACCCTCCCCCCTTTTGTCTCCACAATGGAAAACTACAGTATCTGAAAGAGGAGCGCGAGCAGTTGTTGAATTCAAGTATGGTGTGCTGCGTACACAAAGCCTGAATGAACATCGCTAATATCACCCTTTGGTTCACTGCTTTTTGCAACATTGCTCATGTTTCACAAGACGTCATACTGTGACTCAGCGATCAATCTGAATGATGCATAATAAGTTGAAAAATCTGGGATCAATAAGCGCAATCCACATCATGTAAATGTCAGACAGAATGAGTAACCTGAAGTATTGTTCACATATCCCAGGATCATGAACTCTGAAGCAGTTCTCTTGAAACCAAACTACCATATCTACACTTTTTTAAATGAATGCAGCTGAACATCATTACAGCGGACTGAAAAGTCAAGAATATCAACTGTGACTTCACTCATTTCTACATAAACATGTTACTTTAAGTGCCAAATATCATCAACAACAAATCTGTGAAGGTCAAACAGCTCCCCTCGTCACATTTGTACGGAAGCTGAAAACGTCCGTGCTTGCAGTTATGTTTTTTAATGCCGTTATCACGAGATAACAAAGCTTGTTTTCTCATGGATATGGATTAAAGGTATTCTATGCAGGATTTTCCTAAAACATAATGTATAGACTCATCACTTATGACCCACGAAAAGTGTGTGGTGGTGTATTCATCTGCAGAGACTTGCCCTCTGCCTGTATCATCATATTTTATTTTTATTTTGCAATGTATGGGTTGTTCCAGGGCACAGCACGCAGGTGACCATATAAAAGGATAGGAACCAGGTGCCAGATCAAATGCAGCATGTGTCTAAGATGAAGCTACGAAAATCGTGGACACAGCGCCAGAAAAAAAAGCAAATATAGCAACACGAAACGCCAAGCCATCAAAGTTCATTCCAAAACGACAGCGATCTGGGGTAAGCTTTTAGTTTCACTGGAGATGCTGTTGACAAACAGTAACTGATAATTCCTGCATAGTATATCTTTAAAGTGTGTAGATTCTTGAGAAAACAAAAGGCCGATATGAGAAACCAACATTTGTTTCTTGAGATCGTTATCTAGTGAAATTTTCTAGAGAATCAACATAAATCAACCTGTTATTGAGAGAAAACAAGCTCTGTTATCTTGAGATAAGGAAATAATTAACTCATGATCTTGAGTTAACGGCGTTTAAAAAAATAATTGCAGGCATGGCCGTTCTTGGCTTCCATACTTTTGCTATAAAATCAACATTTTCAAAAACAAATCGAATAAATTAGCAAAATATCAAGGCTACAGACCAGATGCAACAGATTTCACCAACTCAGTTTTAACTGAGGGGGGAATATACAGAAATTGAGGACATGTTGCTTCATAGTGTCAGGTCTATGATATTCCGTTACACAGACGCTCCCTTGACCTCCCACAATGAGAAAAAAACCTTTAAAATTGAGCAGCTCTCAAACCGAGCAGTTCCACATACATACTTGAAATTAATGCATGCCCACACATATACTGCACACTTACACACTCAATCTGGCCTGATGATCCGGCTACAAAATTTGTGAAAGTAAAACCTGGGATTGTCAAAGCTCCCTTGGACATGATAGGGGGGCAGGTGTGAGTGCTGACTCTAAATCTAGCTTTCCATATTAACAAGAGGCTCCACTGGGTCCTGTGCAGCATAGAGTCTCAATTACTTAATTGATCTAATTATGGAAAGAAAATAAAGTGGAGAAACCTCTGGCCCTCTAGGAATTGGGCTAAAGCCCCCCGGTGGTGTCTGAGGGAGTGATGACTTGCGTTTCATTCCTATTTCTGACTTGAGCACCACATTTCTCGCATGCAAGGGTAAGGGGGCCGCAAGTAGGAATTCAAGGCACCGCCACCCCATGACGAAGCAAGAAAAACCACCGCCATATTTGCAAGTGCTCTAAGTTGACCTGACAGTGACAGAGACAATCGAACATAGAGGAAGGGAAATGCTCAAGTCCTCAATGGGGGGCGATGAAAACATTTTCAGTAGACAGGCATTCTTCTCTGTAGAAATTTCATGCACACATTTCTCTTTTCCTTCTTCCTCTTCTTCTCAGGGTATGGTGCTTTGAGGTAATAACGTATCCATTTAATTTCCAAAAGGATGAACTGTCTTCCACTGACAGGGCAAGGAGTCAACCAATTCCAGCAAGCACCCATATAAACTGAGGGGATAAATGACACCTCTCCATCCCCGTCATATCACAAAATGATGAAAATCATAAAAGCAGCAAAGAATGGCATTTCCATAATTTCTAATACAAAGGAAGCTACCCAAATATACATATAAAGTTTGAATAAATACTATCAGATATAGTGGTATTTCTTTCTTTTACAGTCCATTTTTGTCTTTTGTGTTTGTACGTACGTATACGGTATTTATGTTACCTGGGAAATAATCCACATGTGCAAATAAGTTTGTTATTGCCAGTTTTTGCTCATCATATTCGGGGTAGGAAGTGCGTTACAGTCATGGCAGTGGTGGCCTTGTTGCCCCTCTTCACGCGGCCATGCTTGCTGAGTGCTATGTAGGAGCCTCTGTAAACCAGAGACTCGTAGGCATTGTAGTTGTTCGGGAGCATGCTCTCCTTGAACTTGCACTCGTCATGGAAGACTGTCTGGAGAGGACAAAGAGACACACAGCGTGCATTTTAATGAGCTGCTCAAGAAATAGACAGTTTGAAGCTACAGTATGATGGCAGAACATTAAATAGCTCTTTAAAAAGATTCTGTGCAATGCATCAAAAATATAAAGCTAAATTTAGATTACACACAGCAATGGGAACAATGAATTTACGATTTGACAATGTGGAGTTATCTTTGTGCAATCTCACAGCAGCTGTTAAATATCAGGTGTATTCAGTTTGCTCCTTTAAAAATAGCTATTAATTTAAGTACGGTATACTATCTGCTGATATTTAACACATACAAGGAATTTCTCTGGAGTGGTGGTCTATTTACAGAAAAAAACAGAACCTAAATTAAATTAAACTGCTGGACTTAAAGCAATAGTTTGACATTTTGAGAATTGAGAATTTTACTCATTCACTTTCTTGCCAAGAGTTTGATGAGAAGACTGACATCACTCTCCTGTCTGTACGCTAAATATGAAGCTATAACCAGGAGAACATTTGCTCAGCTTACCATAAAGACTGAAAACTGGCAGACAGCTAGCCTACTGTGTTCAAAGGCAACATCTGCCGTTATATCTTGTTTGTTTAATTAATCTTTCAGCAAATAGGACCACATAAAGACCATGACCTTTTCGTTCGTCACTGTTGTTTCACAGTGGTTATTGCACAGATTAAGCAAACAAGATATGATATGTTCATTAGGTGTTGTAAATTCCAGATTTTTTAACCATTGCAGAGCCAGTCTCAACACTCTCTCATAGCTTAACAACAGAATGGGTCCATTTCCACTGACTTCCAAGAAGTCATATATGACTGGCCCCAAAACAACATACATTACTGTTGTATAGGTCGCAATTTTAAACACGTCCTCAACATGACACAGTCGTAGTTCCACTCAAAAATGACTTGTTCAGATTTAGGAAAAACATCATAGATTGGCATTAAATAAGTATTTTTGTCCATGATGTAACGTGAAGTATGTCACATAACATGACTCACATATGACACGTACATTCGTCACTAGCGTAGCATGCTACACTTCAGGACCGAAACATCGGTCTCCTGGGCAAAAGTCCTGTGTTTGTTTGACCCATCCACCGCCACTCCTGCCCACAATATACGTAGGGGCTTCTTCGATAATTTTACGACATTACGCAGACTTTGAGGCTTTCTTTGCATCACCTCGCTTTCTCCTCTCTCCTGTGATGAAATCTACAGCCACTAGAGGGAGCTGCCATGCAATTAACGTAACTGCGTGGTTGTTTTACGGTGAGAGTAGGCTGGCCAGACTAGCAGTTATCTCCTGTTTACAGTCTTTATGCTAAACTAAGATCATCCTCTCCTGGCTACAGCTTAAACAGGCAGTAATAAGAGTGGTATCAGTCTCTATTCCTTTATCATGAATGCAGTAAAAGCTTGGGGACACATTGAAACAAGACAATGAAGCACTGCAATCACAGAAACTTTGAATGAATTCTACAATATCAGGAAGATTTTAGGTAGAAGAGTAACACTGATGACAATTTCCCACACAAAGCCCCTCTATATAAGACAATCTCTGAAGACAGTATCTGCCACTATGAAGATCACTATGACTGCTCAGTGCTGACAGTGCATGACTTGTACAGTGTGCAGTAGCAGAGCAAAACACACGCCGTCAGAAGCCATGTGGCCTAATTCAATCTCTTATCAGATCATCAGCCCGCTCACAGGCTAACACTTCATCACTCATGACCAGATAACCGACTCACATTGTGTCTGTCAAATATGTTGGCCGCAGCCAGCAAACCAGCAGCCATGTGTCAGCAGGGCTCTACTAAACACAATGTTTCCTCTCCCACCACCAGAAACATTTATTAATAGCTGTCATTGCTCTAGAAGCAAACAAATCACAGCTTCTAAAGGTTATCTATAGTAATTCTACAAATACATCGTATCTGTGTTATGAGGATAAAAGGCTCAAGTTTAATTTAATTTCAGTTTCTACCATAAAAATTACAGCTAAAACCTGCTTCTTGCAATAAATGATCTGTGTATATATATATATATATGTTATTGTGATCTAAACCTCACATAAAAAGTCCTCTTTCTCTGTAAAACTGCCAGCAGCATTTCATATATATCAAAGGAAATGCATAAAACATCCAACACATTCAGCAGCAGTACGCACACACTGAGAAAAAGCATTGTTAAAATACAGTGGGAATTTGTGACACTGCTTCTTAGTTTCAGTTATAGTCCATTATTGCTGTGTGTACTTCAGCAATTTAAAGTTCCTTCCCATGTGTTGATTAAAACCATAGGCTACAAACTCATCTCTGACCATCAAAATTACATATCTTAACACCCCTTACTGCCTTAAAAGCCTGATAATGATGCTGAGAAATCCATACATTATCACTGATGATCTTAAACCTTGCACAAAATCCTTTATCTGCCATAGTCCCATCACTTTTATCAATATATAGTGCTATAACCACAATCAGAATGCCCTATATTTCCACATTTCAGATACAGGTTTTTTTGGAGTGCTCACAATGCCTCAGACGTGCATATTTTACACACGGTAGCATGTTTTGTAGTATTGGAAGCTTCTGTACAATTATAAGGTGTGAGTAACACTGTCCAGGCAACACCTCTTAGGACACAGATGTGATGTCAGACATGTACATTTTTTTGATTTAAAATGTATTTCTGCTATGAAAAAATATCAATGTGTGTTATAGATGTGCTCGAGGTTAGAGAACGGAGAAGCTGCTGCTGCTGAATTGGATGAGTTGAGTCTTTGCCTCCCAGGATGTGTGTGATGTGCACTGCCCTGCAAAATAAACGCTTTGCCGTTAAAATCGATTTCCAGCCCTGCTGACAGGTTTCATTGCGTCAGGGGGTTTTCCCTCCTTCCCACTCACACACGACCACATTACAGGCGTGTGCACTGAACCCTGCATCTGTTAACCTCATCATTATTTACCCATAGGCCACCAGGCCTCGCTTTAAATAGAGCTTTGCAAATTCCTGGTGAAATTAAAATATTGGGGATTTCGCAACGCGTAATGAGCAGCCTCCCTGCTGGCAGAGAGGGCAGCATCCCAAAACATGACTGGCACATTTTTTTTTAAAGAAAAAGAAAGAAAGGAAAGGAATAAAGGCGGATCAAGCTGCAAGTGCGACCTATTTCCAGGATCCCATTAACTGACATTGCTGGACAATAAATGGAATACTGTGCATACCTACCGTTCCGTATAACCTTCCACGGCTGTTCATTGCGACAAACAACTCACTCTTCACCCCATATAGGCTCACCACTCCTCTCTCCACCGTAGAGATCTCTATTAGACCTGATACAAGATAAAGAAATATTACATCAGAGTAAAATTAAAAAAAAAAAAAAATCAAATGAAATACCAACCGATCATCCTGGCTCATTCAGTGTCTTATCATGGTGACTGTAGCATTGTGCTCTCTCTGCGTCTATGGGTGTAACCTTGCAGATTGCTGCGCAGCATGCCGAGCCTTTGTTCTGCATCTTTCACCCCATCTTACATTTGCACCCCAGGCGCGTGTCAATTAAGCGCATTCTGGTTATTGCAATAATTGCAGTAATTGCATTGACGTGCACGGCTATTGGTCTCGGGACCGCCCTCACAGGGCTGCGTAAAAATAAGTTGTGTCTAAAAGCGTCCATACATTCATGTCATGGTTGAGCTTGGGGAGGAGGAGGAGGAGGAGGAGGGGGGAGGAAGGGGGTGCTCAGCACTGATGGATACTTATTTTTAATAGATTTGTATTTGCCGTGGAAGAAATTCAATTCTCCCTCAGAGACGGATGACACATGATCATGCAAATTAATAGAGGGGATAGACTAGCCCTGCTCATCACAGATCCATGCTTATTGACTCTGCCTCTCTTTTATGTCTATTGCATTACATTGGTGGAGGTATAACTCACTGTACTGGTTTTCATTATGTACACCGTTTATCCTGCCGTCGGGGAGGATCTGAAGGTGAAACCCGATGCCCACGTTGCAGTAGAGCCTCCGCACTCTTTTGATGCCCAGCAGATAGTCACTCTCCCAGTTCAGCTCCGGTTTCTCCCCAGAGATCCCCAGTACAGAGCGGGAGAAGAGGGTCTCCCATCTTTTCTCCAGTAAAGTTGCATTTGTCCTGCTGCTCGGTAAAGGGTACGCTGACACGATCCCCAGCAGAAAGCCCAGGAGAACCACCGCGGTCAGCGTCCAGTGCGGCGTGCCGGCCTCGCAGGACATACTGACGAGGAGCCTTTGCGCAACGGCCATCCGGTTTACCTTCGGGCCACGTGGTCGAAATTAATGACCCTAAAAATACCGCTCTTCTTGTTTTGCTTCCTTCGGCATGCTGGCTGAGGGTTATTTTTGGAGCGCAGATCAGGGCTTTGGGCATGAAACGCAAGCCCCGGTGCAGAGGAGGAGAGGAGACGGGAGAGTGCGCGGCAGAGCTGGAGATGATGGTGATGGTGATGGTGATGTTGGTGGTGGTGATTACCATGTTTTGCAGCTCCTCCGCGCCTCTCTCTCTCTCACACACACTCTCTCTTTCTCTCTCTCTTCCCCCCTCTCTGTCTCCCTCTCGGTAAGAGTTCGGAATAAATCCTCTACCACTCACCAAAAACCCTGTTTCAACCTTGCCAGGGCTATCGCATCCCTAGATGACATCATGCTGACTTCACCGCTGGGACAATACAAGGGTAGAGAGGGTGCTGACAGCAGGAAAAATACCAAGTCTGCAGAGAGTTGAGGGGAATAGCCTACTGTCACTGCTGGACTGGAAGGGGAGAAAGCTTATTGGTGGCGTTGAGCGGCCGTGGGACGCGATGGGGCACTCGGGCTGCTCCCAAATTGGGTCGGTGGTCATATGTCTGTCAGGCCGCTTCCTTATTTAGAAGGAAGGTGTAAAAACAGGCCCACTTGTCACCGGAGAGCAATGACAGGGCTCTTGTGGTCCCACTTCTTCTGCTGCGCCGCTCAAGAACTTCCCCCAGTAAATCTGTGTTTTTCTAGGCATAAAATGACGCATCAGTTGGAGCAGAGAGCCAGCAGGGTGCCCGCAGCGCCCCGGCCGCGAAAATCAGGGTTCAAGACCTCAGTGTCGGCCAGCATCCGCCCTGCTGACGTGTCCTTGAGCAAGACACCGACTCCCCTTCAGCTCAACGGCACGGCGGAGGCCCAGACTGGCATTTTAATAAAGTATCATGTTTTTATAGTACACCATAACCCGTGCGTTTCCCGTGGTGCATTCGTGAGAACTATGAGGAGCAAAGTGAAGAGGCCCGTCATGAAATGGCACACATTGTCAGCATGCCATTCCCTGCAACATGAAAGCCTATCGTCTTTTCCATGTAATAGATAATGCCACCAGCAGCATGCCCATGCGTCAGTGAGGCCAGTGCAGTTGCGCACCAGCAGTCTCTCTTGCACACATCAGTTCCCCCAGATTTCCAAAGGATGGCACCATTTCCAAGTTCATTTCAACCACTGCTGAACAACCCTTAGTCCTTAGTGTCTGTAAGTCAGACTGCAGAGAGATTTGTGGATACTTTGCACTGCAAAACACTCACTTAAAATGAAGAGTCAGATCACAGTGTGCGTCAGATTAAATTAATTCAGACATTTAAACATAAATCAAATGAAGAGACCACTGTAACATTTGAGTTTACTGTATGCACAAATGACCAATAATTTACTCCAGGACAACACCTCATTAACAATGCAGCTCTTTTATTTTGTATAAAATCTATATGGTAACTGCATATTTATACACAATCTGATGTATAATGGAAATGAAATACATTTTTTTGTTATGGCTGAATGCATTTATGATGACAACACAGGTGACAAATTGTATGACAAATAGCCATTAAAAAAAAAACCTGATCAATGACATCAGAACACTTCTGGCCTTTAACATAGTCGGACCACTGGCACTTTTTTTTGTCTGAAATGAAACAGGGCATTTGGTTGAGAGCAACGGGGACTGAAAGCAACTCCACTGACCCAGGTAAAGATATCTAGTATTTATCTGTTAAATTCAACAATAGCACAGATCTCTGATAAGAACAAACAAGTGGTTATACAGGACCCAGATAAAGCAGTATTGACACAATGATGCTGTTTCTGATTTGCATCTGGAAAAAAAAAAATCACAAGCATCTCAGTTGTGTGACAGGAGTAAAGTTTTCAGCACATACAGGTTATGTGGAAAATGACCAAAGAGGGAATACTGGTAACTTTCTGTATTCTCATCTGCCATATGCTCTGTGATGTTATCAGAGCCACAGGATAGAGTGTGTAATGATAAAATAAATTATAGTTTGATGATGCTTCTATTCCACATCTATACAAATAATTTATCTTTTTCACAGAAACAGCCTTCACCATTGCACCTATGAACGATGCCAAAGAGGCCAATAGTTTAATACGTGCTATTCTGTAATAAAAGCATAATAAATAAATACATATGTACAAAAAATGTTTGAAAAAATGTACAGGCACTTGTAAAACAACCTTTTTTTTCCTGACATTTCAGCTACTGCTAAACAATATTTTTCTGTGCATTTCGGGGTGAAAAGGATAATTCAGCTGCTTGAGTGTTCTGCTCTGCAGTGGTGTCAACATGACAAACAAATCCTCTGCTGTTTTTCCTTCTCTCACGCTGAGCGCACCTCAGGCAAAAAGATCCTTCGGGGACTATTTGTATCTGCAGAACCCAATTCATCACCCGTTGTGTGGGATCAGACAACCTGGATACAAAAGGCTCAAATGAACTCTCTTACCGGTTGTGAAACAAGAATGGTGTTTACACCAACCGGCTGGCCAAAAGCTCAACTGAAGGCCACGATACATTGTAACACACAGCATCATATGGGCCAGGCTGAAGTCAAAAGTTTATTATAACTGGTGAGAAAAAATCTGCACGCACTTGAGTCATATCGTTTTTCATTAGCCTTGCACTTAAATATTTCTAATGCTTTCTCACTATTTGTCCTCCATGTTATGTATATGCAGACACGCGCACGCACACAGACACACACAGACAGAGAGACAGACGCACACCTCAGCTTGGCCTTCAGCCCCCAACATACACCGCCTTCTCTCCCATTATTTTCAGTAACCAAATATTTCCATTTACTGCACAACATTTTTTGGTCTTTCAGGATTGGGTGCTATGAAGCGGGCTTCCATCAGACATCTCCCTACATGTTTACACACAGCATTACGTAACAAGCCTATGTAGATGTCTTAGATTGTCATTTGAGAACACAGTAAAACATGAAGGTTTAGGCAGCAGGGAAAGTGTTTTATCAGTGGCATAAGGACAGGATGGGATCCTAAAACAATGTACTAACCTGAGACAACTGTCCTGATCAGAAGCATAGGTGGACAGGAGGAGCAGTGAACTAAACTGCTCTTGATTATCCAGACAGAAAAGGTTTGATGCAATATTTCCAGTTCCAGTAAACAGCTTCATTCTTAAAACCACCACAGTCGATGACCTCACCTCAACAGGTTGCATAACAAAATTCCCATAGGGATATACAGTAAATTTGTATACAAAATATTTACAGTAGAACTGTTCATTAATTAATAGATGACACTGGACATGTGGGGGTGGCACATAAGACGGGGCCCAGCATCAGAGTACAGCTGAATTTTTAAAGGGGTACTCCACCAATTTTACACATAAAGGTCAATTTACTTGTTATGGGGAGTTCTGTTCAGCCTGTGAACGCTGTTGTTTAATGTCCTCTTTGGCACTGGAGGAGCTTTGACAGGTATGAGAAAAATAACCTGCATGATGACATAGTGATGTCATCAGGGTTATTGTGAGTAAAGGCCCTGACACACCAAGCCAACCGTCTGCTGTTGATCAATGTTGGTAAGTGTCTGTCGCCCTAGTTTTTGCAGTGTGTCCCGCACCGTTGGCACTAGTCTGCCCTTGCTGGCTTTTTTATTTTTTTTTCACCATTTCAGCATGTTGTATCAGTGTCAGAGACAGTGAGACCTGTTTGTGAATGAAATCACTCTGATTGGCAGTTCAGCTCAGTGGACGAGAAGAGAAACTTAAGTGCTTAAGCCAATCAGCTAAAGTCAAAAGGGCATGCGATCACAACATCGAGTTGTGTTGTTTATGCGCTAACTGACTAACTAGCGTCTTAAATCCTCATGTCAGTCTTCCGGTTTCCCTTTGTGAGTGATGAAAACAGACCACCGCCACCTGCTGGTATGGAGAGTTATTTCCTTTTTTTGCAGGCACCTGTGTGTGCTAGTTGGTCATTGGCTGTAGTCTTTGCACCATATTCAGTGCAACTTTTATGGCCACAATACAGGCGACGTGAGGGGACGCATTCGTCAACCTTCATCGCCACTTCTTTGACGTCAGTTTGACATGTAAGGCATTAAAGAGAAATTGCAATACAGATTGAGGGCATGGAGTTTAAAATATGATGACAATTAACACGTGGGGAAGGTCTAATGAAAGATGATGTTGAGTTGTATTATATAGGACCAACTATTTTTGAAGATTGACCCATTGTAGGGACTAAAAGACAAAGATAATTTCACCTTTCTTTTTCTCAAATCTCTCTCTCACAAGTCCCCCAGCTTTATGGAGTTGCAATAATAAATCACTGGAGTACCCCTTTGAGAGTATTTTTCATCCTGGATGGACAAGTCCAATGGTCCCAGTTGTAATTCTACTTTCTGAACGGGTAGAAACAATGCATTAATCTATCCATTTTGCCACTGTGAATAAAAACAGACTCAATCAACTGATAATCAGCTTCCAGATCTTGCAGATGAGTATGAACAAGCCAACACTGTGTTTAACATGTTGTTTGGCGTACAAAACAGACTTTAAAAATTGTGGATAGCTCAGGATAAGACCATTAAAAAAGGATTAGAAGGTGTGTATCTGAGGTTGATGAGTTCTACAGTAAGTCTGTTTGTGGTACCTGAGGAAAAAAGTTGATGGACAGAAAAGATGTCAAAACACAAGGTTTTTGAAGAGGTTTCTATAGAATTCAATTGCATTTAGTACAGAGAGTATCACACCTGACCTGAGCACACAGTTGGTGTTGACTCTTCAGGTGGCAGGTAACTCTATCTGCTCTACCATAGAAACAGCACATCGTTGGCAGAAAACACGTCTCTTGTTACATTTTCTTTTGTGAGCCACTTTCTCTAATAACCTGACACACACTTCCCCAACGCAGAGCTTTTATAAAAGCTAACACACGGTACTAGAGCAAGGCATTCTGGAAACAGTAGTGCATTGTTGCGTTCCACCCATGGAACCTGAATGATTGGTTGGTTACTTCTGATTCCAATCGCTCCCGCATCTTTTGCATCCAAGTCTCAGCTTTTGAGGTCCTTTTGGTCAAAGATGATTTCACTGGCCAGGTAGATGGCGACGGCACCGAAGATGACAGAGCAGGCGATATAGGCAGTGACGGACTGTGCAAACTGAACGATCATGCCCATGAAGAGGGTGGGGAAAACCTGAGAGAGGAGGAAGGTGCTGTCTAAGATGGCAAAGTCCAAACCCACACCACGTTTCTCAAACCCAGACTCGGCCTCCTCTTGTTCGCAGCCACTGGCACTGAGAGATGAGCCGTTCTGGCTGTGTGGACTGGGGTAGTACTCGTAACTGTCCTGGCTATAGAAAGCATGACCATAGGGAGTCCCTGTTTTGTGGTTCACTCCGCCCTCCTCTTCCACAGGAGTCAAATACACAGAGTCCCGCTTAGTTGTAATACCATTTTTATGCTCGCTTTTGGTTTTCCTTTTTGGCATATAGACCTGAAATAAGACAAGGGAAGAGTCAACTTCTCAGTCATCCAGATTTTGCCTCTCCTTGTGTATAAAATTCTGAGATCTTTACTTACCTCTTTTTCCTTGTGGTACTGGCAGGTGAGTGTGTAGGGCAGAGTCTGCAGTGTGGCATACGCATAGCCAGTGAGGGCTGCCATTACAGTGACCAAGACCACACTTTTGGACAGGCAGATGACCAAAGCAGAGATTGTGAAGCTCACTATACTGCTCATGTAGACCCGCCGCGAGCCAAAATGGCGAACCAAACGACTCATAACCAGGGAGAAGAAGGTTGAGGTAGCACACTGCAGGAACAGGCCCAGACTGCCCATACGGATACCTGAAAGAAGAAAAATGGAATTTGTATTACAACCAGCCAAGCCCATAAAACTCATGGCATCTCTCTGAATGAGACACAACCGTAACGATGGCTGCCTTGGTACAAAACATTGTCCTATTTTGTTGTCAGTACAGGAGCTATCTGACGTCTGTATTATCTCTAATCATTTCCTTCTAGGGCCACATCCAGTGAAGGATGCACAGCATGCGTGATTGCCAACCGTATGTTAAATTTAAACTGTGATGCATTAACAGCTCTTTGGGTGAGATAGAAAACCCTACTGCTTGTTCAAGCTCATAAAACACAGACACAGATCCGGTCGGGGAGACATTCACAGAGCACTGTGGCACGGACACACTGTTAGGGATGACTAACTTGGACCATCACAGACGGCATAAACCTCAAATACATCCTTGAAAAACCTGAAAGGGCGATACACACAGGCTGGTCCTTGTTTACTGAGGCAATGTGCCCCTTAGCCCGTGTCTGGCCTGGTCAGCCAGACAGACAACAGGAATTTGGATGAGGTCTCACAACCTGACAAAGGCAGAATTTTAAGTTCAAACAACAGACAAAGACTTGCAGAGTTAGAATTAGAATTCCAGGTTTTGACAGATTCACAGAATGCAACAGCTTCCAGTAATGACAACATTTTAAAAACCTTTTAGTCAACTATGGGATTTTGTTCACTGTGGGAAAGCTGCTCCATATTTATTAACATTCCCTCTGTCCCGGTTGTTAAAATTATTTAAATTCTGTGTTTAAGCTATTAAAGAAGAAAGGAAGTGCAGCAGGTTTAATGATATTTCAAGCGTTCTGTTCAACTGCACAATAACAGTCATTTGCTTTAATTTGTGTCTGTTATATTTTTCCACACTGGTCAATCTTTGGAATTTTGCAGGATCTTGCTGGGTTTTCTTTCCGTTTCTCTCTCTCTCTGTATGCGTGTTTGAGTGTTTCCATCAGTGCCATATTACATTACAGTTATTTTATAGAAGTGGTTTGTCATTCAGAGTAATGAAATCAAGTCATATGGTCAAATTATGATACTAAAAACAAAAATAAAACAAATAATTTATTGACACAAAGACTGATAATCTTGTTTGAGTGTGGATTCTTTGAAAAACATTTTTTTTTCACATCTCTATTGAAAGTTCTGTTTTTTTTAGTTACATGGTTTTTACATTTATTTATTTATTTTTATCCATCTTTGAACCTTATCGGCATATTTATTTCACCTCTTAATTAAAGTTTTTTTTAAATTTCAGTACTAATCCATGAAAGCTGGAGTGACGTCATGTCTGGACTGTTATTTATTTCTGCCTGCTATCAGCCCAATCTCTCAGCCTGCTCTCCATGAACAGTGTGGGTCAGAAGTTCAGCAGCAGAGCAGAGAATCACTTACGTGAAAGGAGTATGTGGATCGTATTACTCCTGGAAAGCAAAGCTGCCGAGCCCACTTTACAAACACTACAGAAGCTAATGAGGACCGAAATTTAAGCCCTCCGAGATATGGGAGTGAGCCAGAATGCTACTGAATTTGTGCACATAGGAGAACTGCTGCAGTATGGGAAAATAGTTCCTGTAGTACAAGCTTCACCAATAACTACTTTGCATTACAATCCTTCCCAGTAGGAAAGATGATCACAAACTGTTATACCAGTGAAGTTTAAAAAAAAAAAAAAAGTTGATGCAACTACAGACGAAGCAGATTACCTTGATGCAGAGGAACATCTTAAGGCTGAATGATGTGGTTTAATACATCCGCTGTGTTTCAGATTAAACAAACGCAGCTCAGACAGACCTCAAAATTGTGTGCTTTGGCCATCTACCTGACTTGAATGAACATGTTCTTTGTGTGCCGATTCCTTGACATTAATTCTTTGTGAGTGTGACATTCCTTGTGGTCCAGCAAGCACAGGGAGGACAGATGGGGGGAAAAGTAAAAAGTAAACAAAGAAGGAAGGGAGATAGAGGTGGAGAAAGAAAGAGGAGAAAAGAATGTGGATGGATGGATGAAAATGTCAAATGAAAGAGGGAGAATGGTGAGAGAGAAGAGAGGTTGACAACGAGGATTAGAGGACGAAAAAAACAGTGGCCAGTATTGGGAAAGGATAGATAGATACAATGGGAAGGAAGCTGAAGAGTACATAATTAGGTAATGAGAGATAATGGAAAAGCCAGAAGATAGAGACATGAGGTGCAAGATAGGGAGTCTGGCTGAACAGTAAACAAGAAGAGACTACAAACACTTGACTCAAACAGGGACCACTGTGTTAACACATCTGCGAATTCTCAACATGGACAAGATGGTCTGCTTCACATCTGTTTACTTCCTCTTTACTGTTCCTTCTCAAACACTGTCTGGTAAAATATACCAAGAAAGAAGTCTCCCTCTTACACCACTGACACAATAGATTTGGTCAGGTGTATCTAACGTTTATATTAAGGAAGAATCATACAGCTAAGCATCTGCATAGCTAGAAAATATAGCCATACAACTGTCTAGCAGGATTAGTGACAGCTCTATCATTTACAGAGCAGGAACAGGAAAGGATAAAGACTGTGTTTGTTTACCATTTCAGTGCAGGAGGTGGGAAATAATACCTGGAATTCCTTGGATTGGCTTGACATTGGCTTAAGCATACTTACCAAAGGGATTTGTTGCTTGTTTAGTGACATAACTACAGAAAATGTTCACCCCCTCATGTAAAGTCTTGCATCAGAGTCTATGTTAACGACTGTTTCTTGCTGTATGTGTCCTACACCTTGACAGGAGCCAAAATGAGGGCAGCAGGAAGGCATGAAGGCATGCAGGAACACAGGCTCTGTCTCTGTCCTCCACCTGTGCCTGAGGAATGCGAGCGCATCCTGGCCAGCTGTGACAGAGCAGACAGCACAGCCAGGATGGATCCTAAGCCAGTTTATGTGGGCAGGTGGTGGAGGTAAAGCCATGATGACAAAAGATAGGACATGTCTTAAATCCCACTAGAGCAATACAAGTTTTTATGGAATGGAAGCTATTAATGATTTACCGGTACTTGAAATGCTGCTTTGTCACTTTTTGACTCGGAAGTAAAAAAAAAAAACAAAAGAAAAACAGCACTGGATATTGATCATAAAAGTGGCAAATCTTCAGGCCGGCCTTAACTGGATGAAATGGCTGGAAACATGCATGTGGATGGACGGACAGACAAATGGACAGGGGCAGCAGGGGCTTTTAAATCACAATGTCGGGCTCAGGGGTCAATGACTGACAGCCATCAGCAATGGATGATGCCCAACCCTGGAAAGGCACTGACTCATAATATCTAACGTGTATACCACAATGAGCTACTTAGACATTCAGAAAATATTATTTGAAGACAAAAGAAATAAGCTTAAAACATAAATCATTAAATATATAAAGGATATCTGACCTTCATCGTATCTTTGCCTGGACACACTTCCTGGTAATGCACTTGGCACGCCCTCGTACAGGCCTTCCCCCACAAAGTCCGTGTAGAAAAGCATGAAAGACATGACCGCCATCCAGCTGCAGAGCTGAGCCACACAAAGCTGCCTCATCACCCGCGGGACATGGCAGTAGCTCCTGTAGATGGCTGGGGTCATGGACCAACAAGTTCTCAGCAGACACAGCAAAGGTCCAGACTTGAGCAGCCTCAGCTTGCACTTCAGCAGGTAACAGCATGACCGCGGCACGCCACACCGTCCAGCCTCCATTGCACCTGCTCCTGATTCCAGTAAAGATCCAGATCCCACCAAGCCACTGCTGGCACACGAGGGCTCCTCAGACACCTTCATGGTGATGAGCACACTGGAGATGAAGATGAGGATGAGAAGGGAGAAGAGGCACTCTGCCTGGCCTCCTAGGTAAGCAGAGAGCAGGCCGCGGCTCCAGTCCAGGGCTGGTAACAAATAACCCACACAGCCTCCCAAGCTGACCATGAAGGAGAACATGGCAAAGGCTTGGCCACAGTCCTCCTCGTCCCGATAAAGGTCCGACAAAAGAGCCTCCAGTGGTGTGAAGCACACTTGTCCACAAAAGTCAAGGAGGCCCACCCCAAGGATAAGGAATCCCACCTGTGGCAAAGCAATGACATTAAAGAAAGTTATATTTAGATCATAACCATGGTAGAAGTTAATTTCTATCTTGTGTACTGTGCATGTAGAATTTACCAAAATAACAATCACAAACAATAAACAGTTATGCTACCTGGAGGGTGCGCCCACCCCAGGCAAGGCGTGCAGCCAGTACATCGGCATGGGGAATGATGAAGAGTGCCAGAAGGACTCCTAAAGACAGCAGCCAGATGAAAGGCCGTCGTCTGCCATAACTGCTGTTGCAGTGGTCACTGGCTGAGCCAATCAGAGGGATGAATAAGAGGCCAAGCACTGGACCAATACCTGTGGACAGGGCCAGTGAGACACAGAAGGAGTCAGAGACAACACTAACCAAGAATAGAATACTTTGAGGGGAACAAGGTATTTTTCTTCACACAGACACTGTCGCTCTTATAAAATTGGTATGAAATCCTTAAATCACACATTGCATTTACACTCATACTTTCCAAGTAGATTTTGGCAATATCCCACGCCAAAAACACAGGTGTCTGTCAAATCTCTGCTTAGTTACAGTGGCTTACACCAGCCTTTATGACTGGTTGGCTGATGTGGTTTTTTCAGCCTGCCTCTTACTGGTCCGCCTTGCTTCTGCCCTACCAGGGGGTGAATTGCGTGTGCCCCTCTCTCATTATCGCCGACTGCTTGTGATGGTTCCCACAGATGGCCTGCTGCCTGAAGGTAACCCACCCTCAGCCTGTCCTCCACATGAGGTTGGGTCTGGCTAATTACAACACACCATGGTACATGAAGTGTTCACATGACGCACATGCAATATTGAAAACAACCCAATCTTGGGGATAGAGTCTGACGTTTAAAAGGTATCCTGTGGAGGTTTCATTATAGACAACATGATTTATCTATATTTAGGCTAATGTTTCTCATCACAAGGCACATTGTGAATTCATGCTGTCCTCATGCACATGCTCGTAAAACAGAAAATACAAACAATACAGGGCCCGCTCATCAAAAACACTGCTCTACAGCACCACTAGGGGTCAAAAAGAAGCAGGACTGCAACTACACCACTTTCTACAGTGTGACAAGAAACTGAAACACAGACAACATTTGTATTTCTGGTGTCTGAAGAGTACTTCAAAATCCTTACACAAGTGCAGACAAAGAGACAAGCAGGCAATTTGAGAAAGACAGACAAGTCGACTGCAGCCAGGCAGTCAGCACCTCCACCACATTTCTTCTTCCTGCAGCTGTGGAGGCTCATCATAACAATCCTCACCATCTACAGCTGTAAGACTTACTGTCTCACACACACTCTTTCCACTCAGTAACTGCTCCCTGCGATACACTATATATCTCTCACACACCAAGTATGCTTTCCAGCCTCCAAATACAAAGCAAGCTGCTTTCCAGCTCTGTTTACACTCACGCACGCACACACACACACACACACACACACACGCACACACACACACACACACACACACACCTAATATAAAACATGTCACATTCCTCAGTGTGCTTTGTTACTTAAATATACACCTAAATATGGTTAAAAATACCAGGAGTAACGGACACCTCTGTGTTAAAAGCACAGAGTATCTTCTCCACTAACAGCGAGGAAACCAGAGAAAGAGAGTAACAACTGGAGGATGAAGCAGCCAACAAATGGCTATTAGATAAAGTCGAAAGCAGCCATCTGAGAACCTGACACTAGTGCTTGGGGGAAATTAGCTTTAACCCTCCCAAGACACAATATCTATCTTCATTCAAATAACACTCAGGCACTCCATTATAATACACGGAGATGAGAATTAGGTTGAGTGCCATTTCCAGATTGGCTTACAGTGCAGGCTGTTAGTTAGGAACTCAACAATGAAATCATTTTTCCTCATATCACCAACAGCTGTTACAGAACTGGGAGAGTGAAAATGTATGTTGTTTTATTCTTTATACTTGAATAGCCACTTCTGTCACCCAAATGGAGCCTTTTGGTTAAGTGGAATGGTATTTATCATCGGTAAAGTCACAAGACAATTTCTCAAAGAGATGCCTTTAGTGAAGACCATGTGAATGCCATTTGGGCTGATAGGATAATGCAACTATTCAAATTGCACACAAGTAAACTCAGTTACAGTGTGCAAATATATACACTGTACTGGTGATGCTAGCTGTGTGTACGAACACACATGCCATTAATAGGTGAGCACCAAGATGACTGATTTTTTTTTTTTTTCTTTTCAAAAAACAAACCTGTCTGTCTTAAAGGGGACCTATTACACTTTTCCATATTTTGTGTCTTCTACATAATATTATACGGAAGGATGTTCATATTAAATGTGGCCAGAGTTTTAAATAATGTAGTAAGGTAGTAAGGTAACGATTTGAACTTAATGTTTCTAACAGGTTTCTCTTCTCTGGCTGCAGCATGATGTCAGAGTGTGCCGGATTTCTTTCTATGGTCATTTGCTCCAGGCATCCTACTGGTAAGTGTTTATATTGCGTAGCCTCCACTGCTACATGAAGCTACATAAAAAATAAAAAAAATATCAGGGAAATATGTTAAGTTGTTTTTTTTAGATCATCTCAGATCATTTTCCTGCTGGAACATGTCCAGATGTGTTTTGACGTTTTTATTTGTGATTGTCACAGTAAAAAGGAGCTTTATTCTCTATTACAGTCATTTCTCAGCAATGACGGTGCAGAGGCGTCAGACGGAAGAACCGGAAACGCTGACTCATCAAAGCAGATTTTTTGGGAGAGGGGCTGCTTGAAGAGAGAGGCACTAAAACAGAGCATCTCAGACAGAGAATGAATACAGGTGTTGAAGCACAGACAGTATGAGGAAAATAAAGTGTTTTTTTTTTTTTGACCATTAGAACAAATAAACACGTTCTGGTAAAAACAAACGACACAAGCATAATAGGTCCTATTTAATGTTTGCATTAGGGAAATGTAAGTAAAGACTAGACTATTAGACTATTGTCAGATTGAAAGATCTGAGGCAACTGAAGCCACAAATACATAACCAGAGGCCAAACTAAATTATATGTTAGCTAGAGATAGCGGTCATCAGCTACACATTCTTTCTTGTGCTGCGTATATCCGCTGTAGCACAAGACCACAGAGCAAAAATAGATTCTTTTCACTGCTCATCTTTGAAATCCTGGATATGATGATGTGCTTCATTGTAAAAGATGATATCAGTAAAATGTTTTTATCGTGTGTGTTTAAAGTGAAAGATAATACGCATTAACCAGGTTTACATTGTTCTGTTTGTATTAAAACTATCACTTATTCATCTCTACAGTACACTTTTTTGAGGCTGTAGTTTGTGGTGTGTTGGTTGCATTATATTGTAAACACTGCCTTGTATTTGTTCACACTTAAATGACCATATAGTTGGATCAATGCCTCTCTTGCAAAGTCTCAGCAACACTGGTATACTATGAGCTTCACAGATTTATTACTGGATTGTACTGTAGTGGTATCTGTGGTATCACTGTTGCTCAAATTAGGTTCACCACCTGTATCTGTCACTGGTGCCTTTCAACGCCTCTAGTAATCAACATGTTTGTTTGGTTCAGCAGCGGTCTGAAACAACAGCAGTTTAAAACTTTGAAGTTTAGCGACAGTGAGATTATGCTGTGGGAAATGTCTGTCATTTCTCTGTTTAAACCATTTCCCTGAAGACAAAACAGAAGAGGAACGTTCTGAATTCAAACACATGCTGATTGCATGATACTTTTATTTTAAACTTTAGTTTCACATTCCAGCTGGATTGTCCACACCTTAGAGATACTTTCAGCCAGCAAAAAAAAAAAAGTTTTGTATTTTCTTCTGCTTCTGCGACTCTATTTTAAGTGTAATGTCAGAGGAACACAAACTTGGGGACTCATCATTCTAACCTCCTGCACTTTTTATAAAATGAGTGTTGTTGTTAACAACAGGGTTACAGTGCCTCTAGTCTGGCTCACAGAATGTAGACTGTGGGTATAAAGCCTGTCATTGGATGCCTATCTCAGACGGTAACATGCTACACAACAACAACTCCCGAACTAGCAACCTACATTCTAAAACGTCTTTGAGTGTTTTATGTTTTAATGCCAGGGCTCACCTCTCCACTGATACAATTTCCCTCCCAACACTATTTTGCAAGCGCACCATTGCTGCATCCTAGGTGTAGCTCCGCCCAAGACATTGTGATTGGTTTAAAGAAATACAAACAATGACTGTTTTTTTTCCCTTAGTGCAGAATTATGATGACTACTACTATGATGGTACTGGAAGTGTGCACTGCGCAGTTGTAATGTGTAGCGCAAATATCGGTATATACAGTACAGGCCAAAAGTTTGGACACACCTTCTCATTCAATATGTTTTCTTTATTTTCATGACTATTTACATTGTAGATTCTCACTGAAGGCATCAAAACTATGAATGAACACATGTGGAGTTATGTACTTAACAAAAAAAGGTGAAATAACTGAAAACATGTTTTATATTCTAGTTTCTTCAAAATAGCCACCCTTTGCTCTGATTACTGCTTTGCACACTCTTGGCATTCTCTCCATGAGCTTCAAGAGGTAGTCACCTGAAATGGTTTCCACTTCACAGGTGTGCCTTATCAGGGTTAATTAGTGGAATTTCTTGCTTTATCAATGGGGTTGGGACCATCAGTTGTGTTGTGCAGAAGTCAGGTTAATACACAGCCGACAGCCCTATTGGACAACTGTTAAAATTCATATTATGGCAAGAACCAATCAGCTAACTAAAGAAAAACGAGTGGCCATCATTACTTTAAGAAATGAAGGTCAGTCAGTCCGGAAAATTGCAAAAACTTTAAATGTGTCCCCAAGTGGAGTCGCAAAAACCATCAAGCGCTACAACGAAACTGGCACACATGAGGACCGACCCAGGAAAGGAAGACCAAGAGTCACCTCTGCTTCTGAGGATAAGTTCATCCGAGTCACCAGCCTCAGAAATCGCAAGTTAACAGCAGCTCAGATCAGAGACCAGATGAATGCCACACAGAGTTCTAGCAGCAGACCCATCTCTAGAACAACTGTTAAGAGGAGACTGCGCCAATCAGGCCTTCATGGTCAAATAGCTGCTAGGAAACCACTGCTAAGGAGAGGCAACAAGCAGAAGAGATTTGTTTGGGCCAAGAAACACAAGGAATGGACATTAGACCAGTGGAAATCTGTGCTTTGGTCTGATGAGTCCAAATTTGAGATCTTTGGTTCCAACCGCCGTGTCTTTGTGAGACGCAGAAAAGGTGAACGGATGGATTCCACATGCCTGGTTCCCACTGTGAAGCATGGAGGAGGAGGTGTGATGGTGTGGGGGTGTTTTGCTGGTGACACTGTTGGGGATTTATTCAAAATTGAAGGCACACTGAACCAGCATGGCTACCACAGCATCCTGCAGCGACATGCCATCCCATCCGGTTTGCGTTTAGTTGGACGATCATTTATTTTTCAACAGGACAATGACCCCAAACACACCTCCAGGCTGTGTAAGGGCTATTTGACCAAGAAGGAGAGTGATGGAGTGCTGCGGCAGATGACCTGGCCTCCACAGTCACCGGACCTGAACCCAATCGAGATGGTTTGGGGTGAGCTGGACCGCAGAGTGAAGGCAAAGGGGCCAACAAGTGCTAAACACCTCTGGGAACTCCTTCAAGACTGTTGGAAAACCATTTCAGGTGACTACCTCTTGAAGCTCATGGAGAGAATGCCAAGAGTGTGCAAAGCAGTAATCAGAGCAAAGGGTGGCTATTTTGAAGAAACTAGAATATAAAACATGTTTTCAGTTATTTCACCTTTTTTTGTTAAGTACATAACTCCACATGTGTTCATTCATAGTTTTGATGCCTTCAGTGAGAATCTATAATGTAAATAGTCATGAAAATAAAGAAAACGCATTGAATGAGAAGGTGTGTCCAAACTTTTGGCCTGTACTGTATGTATATGTATTTTTTTTTTTTTTTTAAATAAACAGCAAAGGAACAAGCATTAGCTTAGGCTGTTATTAATAATATTAGCAATAGAAATGGTCCATTCAGTGAATATACTTATGCATCTGCCCTATAAACACAAACAAATCAAAATTCCTTTGTTTACTTTGTTTCATCATTAAAATGATTGTATGATCCAACTAATAGGGAAAGGGGAACACCACCTAAATTAAGGATTACAATATGTTATTTTCATGGCCTAGGAAAGTTTAATGAATATTTGTGAACATGAGCTTCTCTCTATCAAAGCCAGAAACCAGAGAAACCAGTAAGTCCCAAACATGTGATGTCATAGGGTATAAAGTCTGGAGCTGCTCCATGGACAATAAATGGGAGCCTGATCTTGTGGACCCACAAAATGTTTGTTTTCTTGTTTTATACCCAAATGAGCTTTGTTCCATTGTAGTGTTCTCTGTAGTAAAACAAAAATTGTAACCATATACTCAGAATATTCCCCTGGCAGCTCTCAGTGTCATCTAAAACATATTTCCTTCATCCCAAGTGCCATCAATATTCTTAACTCAACAAAGTGACTGTTTTAAACCATAGACAGACTATGAGCTAAAAGTGTTTTGTATGTTTGTTTTACTGACTATTTGTCTGCTTTTTACTATGTTGTCTGTTGTGTCTGGTGAGCCTAAGAGAAATTTCCACCCCTGGTGGACAATAAGATCTCTAGTCCAGTCTAGTCCAGTCAAGTCCAGTCTAGTCCAGTCCAGTCCAGTCTAGTCCAGTCCAGTTTTTGCATTTAGGAGACTTGTTCATTTTTACTAATATTTTTGGACTGTCTTAGACCATAGGAATGACATGTATGAATCGTATGAAAATAGGCGTATTACCCCTTAAATGAAATCACAATTGCTCCTTGTTTTACAATGTTCAGTGTTAAGTGAAGATCGTGGCTCTTCTTCTGGAAATTTGCTCTCCTGCTGCCTTTCAATTAGCGCAGATTACTGCCTCAACAACAAAACAAAACAAAAAAACAAGTGATTTGTCCACTGATTTGTGTAACTGCCTCAATTATATCTTTATGACCTAAATGGGAAAGAAGAGGAGAGCTCTGAGGCAAAATAACCCATGTATCAAAACATTAATTCCTTGGAGGGTAGAGCCCATTCTTCTCATGGCGTTAACAGTAACTAATTAAATAACTTTTCATTTGTGTTATGGCTTTAGTGTAACCACAGCAAACAAAGCATTCAGACTGATTAAATAAAAACCCATTACTTTTAAGCCCTATGACAATACACTAAGTATTGCAAAGTCAATGAATGGAGCTTGAGGGCTATAAAAATCTATCATTTGAAATACTTGGACAAGAAACACTCACTCATGGTCAATAAAGAAGCCACAGAGGAGATGGTCGAACCCTAGCAATACAGCAGTCTATCCTTGGGAGTGTGTGCATATGAACGAGAAAAACTAAGCCTTTCATGTTTAATGGATACCCTGTCAGACAGAGACAGGAAGGGAGAAATGATGAGAGACTATGCATATGTGTGAGAGAGAATGAGACAGAAACAGCAACACATGCACTCACATAAAAACACACACACTATGAAGTAACAAAGAGGCCTTATAACCAGATTTCACTCTTTCAGTCTTAACCCAACCCTTACCTAGCACCATGGTCATGTAGCGCTCCTCCACCCCAGCCTCCAGCAGCAGTGGGGGCACGTATGTGATCCCAGCTGCCACACAGATCTCCAGGCCACAAGTCAGGGAGTTCAGCAGTACGAGACGCCACTGAGACCTCCATCCAGGCATATTTACAGGGGCCGGCTCGCCTTTCCTCCCCTCTGGGATGGCCACTACTGGAGGCAGGGGAGGGGGGAGGGACCCAGGCAGGGGCAAGGGGGGGAGCGTGGGGAGGCAGATGGTGCCCCAGTGGGACAAGAGGGCTGTCGGGGAGGGACAGCAGCAAAGACACGTGGATGTCTCAGATGACCTGGAGGATTCATTCTCTTCTCAGCATTCTGGATCTGTAAAGTAAGAGAAGAGGAAAGGAGAGCAGTGAGAACTGGAAAGAAAGTTTTAACTTTGAACAGCGAAATGAAAGTGACATCTAAATATGCTACATCTTTCACACAGTCTCTGTGTAGCATGTCACACAGTATATAATTTGCTATTGTTTCAGACTGTTAGAAAATGTGAGTAAGAGCTAAGGCATGCCATTAGACAGGTCATTTCCAGGTTACTACACCTGGATGTCAGCGGCCTCAGGTTGCAAGGGGGGTGTCAGCCTGACAGCTCTCTTACAAAAGAATCCAATCAATGCAAATTCCAATACATTTTCCAGGAACATGGAAATGGCAGCAACAGTCACAAAGATATGATATTGATGTATTCTCATAGCTCTTCACCAGCAGCTTCAGGACAGCAGTAACAACAACAGGCGGACAGAGGAGATGAGTCAGCTGGAGAGCGACGTGGCAAACACACCATAGCATTTGCCAGGAGAATTCTCTCTCTCTGCTGCTTTGCTTGCCTTTATTTAAGTCTAAGTACACGCATGGTAAATGCTTAAAGATCAGTGTTTTAAAAAAGGAGTCTACGTTCCAATTTTCCCATCTCTCTCTCCTTACTACATCTCCCTTTCCCTTCTCCATAATAACTCTAGTATTAGTGGGAGCCTTTCCTTGGCTGACCCTGTAATTATCTGTATTATTAAGCTCTGATTGCAGTTTTAGTCACATGTGCAAGCCCTCCTTCCAGGAATTTCTAGCAGATTACTGCCATTGTTCAGCTGAGCACCTGGAAAGACATGTCACTAGAAAAAGACTATACGGCAGGAGGTAGACTAAGTCACATGTGAGAGGGATGACACTACGCAGCAGGTTTTACCATGCTAGGTTTAAACACAGAAAGCTATGTTGTGTCAAATACATGAAAAGAGATGACAAAGTCATCAACTGTGTTGTCAAGATATGTTTAAGCAAGAGGTGGAGCTACAGCCATACCTACTTGACTCTAAGCTTTGAATATCAAACCAACCAAAACAAATGTCTCCTTGGTATTTTCTGCACACGATCCTACAATAACAAACAAGTCAACTGTACCTTAAAGGGTTTTTTCAGTGACAATAGTTGACATTCTCCATTACATGGTTTACTGTCAAAAGACCATGCATGTGACCAACCCCCATTCACTCTGAAACCAGTTCTGCATTTTTACGGGATTACAGTCTTACATTTTACTTATAGTCATCTGAAGGAATGAGGTATGACTGTCATCCTAAAGACATAGTAGAATTACCACCTTGCGGTTGTATGCCTCAGCGAACCAGTCAAGCCGCAGTTACAGTTCAAATCCATGTCTGTCCAGACTCATATGCAGCAATGACAGTAGACTATATTTCAAATGTTGCTGAACAGAAGCTGCATAATATGAAACACAAACACACGTTTTGTGAGGTCACAGTGATCGTGAATGAGCTTTGACCACCAAATTCTAATCAGTTCATCCGTGAGTCCAAGTACCATTTACTGCCAAATTTGAGGAAATTCCCTCAAGGCCTTCTTAAGATACTGTGTTCATGAGAATGAGATACACACAAGGTCACACTGACCTTTGCCCACCAAACTCTAATCAGCTCATAGTTGAGTCCAAGTGGACATTTGTGCGGAATTTGAAGAAAGTCCCTAAAGGCCCTCTTGAGATATCACTTTCATAACTGGACGGACCGACAGATGGACAGACAACACAAAAACATAATGCCTCCGGCCACGGCTATCGCCGGACAGGAGGCATACAACTGCATATTATATAGGCCTACATACAATAAAATATATCAGGCAGCCTCCAATCTGTGTGCAGTCAGATCCCTGTACATGAAAAAAGTAAGACCGCGATTACCACTGTCGTCATCATCTGCCAATGAGGTGTGCGTTCTTTAAAAGCAGAGGAAAAGAGCAAGAACAGTCAGAACAGCCGCAAACACAGAAACAACAAGGTGCTATATTTGCATTTGGTGTGACATTTCTCTGCCAATGCTGCCCATCTGTTCTCTCCGTGCTAACAAAATGGATGTCATCATCCTCAACACGACGTGGTTAATCACAGAAATGTGCTCAGATCAGAGAGTGATCTAATCATATTCATACAGTATTCCAGTGAGATGTGTCTTGCATTAGTATAGAGACAAAATAGATGACATGCTGTTTTTGTCAAGAAACTAGAGATGCTCGTAGTAGTTTCTGTTATCAGCTCAGGAGTTTAATGTTTTTAAGTCATGTTTTAGCACCAATTGAGCAAATCACTATAATCCCAGATTTACAATGCCCTTCTAAAACCTCCTGTGCCTTTCACATCGTTACTATCAAAAATGTGAACTGAATGTCATCAATGATGCAATCAGAGTTCCTACAGTATGTGTACATTCCCAGCTCACTCATTAAGAGTCCTTTTGATATACAGGCTCTTTGAGAATGTGAGGGACAAAGCGACAGTGTTAGCAGGCTGGACCTAGCAGGGGCCTAGGTCACTTAAAGAGAGGACCATTTCACACCCGTCAGATCTCATTCCCACCCAGCCTGGGCACTCAGAAAGACACCCATCAGGGGACCAGCCTTTGCCCCTACGGCCTGTCTGGCCACTACAACCCCCTACCAACATATTATGTGTGTGTGTGTGTGTGTGTGTGTGTACATTCCCTCTCCTCTGCATTTCATCTCTTTCCTTGCTCAACCCCTGAGGTCAGCTTCGTCTCTGACCTGCATTCTAAGAGCTCCCTTTTGACATATCTGCCCATGACTGGTTATGCCTTTATGGTTCTGAATCTCAGTGTGAATGCTTTCTATTGCAGCCCCAGCTGACTCTCTGTCAGACGTTCTCACTGAAAACAGAAGGGCCCCCGGTGGCAAGAATAGAGAAATCTGATTTGTCTGCCCAAGCGGCTGCGGCTTGTCTGGACGCCTGCCCAAATGCAAGTCAGATTCCAGGGTTTTGTAAAATGAATGGTTGCTTAAGTCTTGACCCGAGTAGGAGCGGCAAGGCAGAGTTTGGACAGGGGCGAGGGAGGAGGATGGAAGGACTGAAAGATGATGGCACGGCTAGGGGAAAACAGTGAAAATAGTGCAGAGAGAAGCATTTATCAGTCCATTTGTCCACTTCAAAGTCAAACATAAAAATAAAATCCACTTGTTTGTTTTAAATATGGTACTCTTAAGCCAGTTCAAGGTTTGCGGCATTGGCACGAAGCAGAACAGAGCTCTCGAGATTAAGTTTTAGCGAAAGAACAGAGAAGCACACACGCTGGCAACCCACACAGTCATTCCACCACTCGCTTAATGACACATCTGACTCTACAATGTATTCCAGTCATGCCCTACATCGTCTTCCCATAGCCTTGGAAACGCAAACGCACGCACACACTGTTAGACAAACAGCTCTCCTTGTCACCTTACGTGTTTAACCACTACAATCTGAGCCAGGATGGTGAGAGGAGGGGTGGTGGTGGTGGTGGTGGTGGGCTGCTTTTGTCAGCTCTCCCACTGCTCCATTACCATGCCCTACTCAGCTGCAGCCCCCCCAAAAATCGGTCCTAATGACTCTGAGCTGTATTCTTACAATACAAAACGGGCTTTGTATACATTGTACCAGGGAGAGTAATGTGATATAGTGAGGTATCAAGTCCATTTCCAAGTCCTTTATTAACACACTGTTCATATAGATGGTAGGATATAGAAAATGTGTGTGTGTGTGTGTGTGTGTGTGTGTGTGTGTGTGTAGTTGGGTGGGGGGTCTCCCATCAGAGACAGCAGGGTTTGGAACAGAAGAAGAAAAAGAATTGCTCTGAGATGACATCAGAGCCACAAGCACAGTCGTGGCTGTGGCTGCAGAAACCTCAGTAGGAGGGTCTGGTTGTGTGTTTGGCTCAAACCGAATGGCTGCAGCACTGTGGCCTTCCTCCCTTTGAGTTCCTGCACATTAATGGACCCGACAGTCTGCATGAGGGGACAGCACGACCAGCTTTTATGCTGACTGGCTTCCCTGGCTCACTTCCTGCAAACCTTTCTCCGTGGCTCTCCTTCTCTGCTCTCTGATTAACACAAACAAGTTAAGATGGAGCAACCCCTAATGAACAGTGCTCTGCTTACAATGCTGCCATAATATCACTACTGCAGCATTTGTGAACAGTGCCAACTTGGCATTGTCGTGGAGGTCACGGGAATGATGTCACACTCAAAGGGCCCTTGACAGGTTTCTTCTATACACAGTCCCCATCAACATGTCCTCAAAGATAAATGCCTTCACAACAAACCCTTAATAAACAGACCTGTGCACTGACTCGACTGTGTTGTATATGTTATACCTGGATTGATGAGACTAATTTGTCCACTCTGAGTTGCTCTCCACACCTAAAATGTTTGTCCCACGTCCTGCACAAATTTGAGCACTAAACTTGAGCACTAAACTAGTGTGTATTCACCCCAAATAGGCCAATGTACTTCACTAGTGTATGCTAGCTAGCAATGGACATACTGGCCATGTGTATGTTTGTGTTCAGCTAAATGATTGTATATAAAGATGGCCAACACATTTCTACATACTCCCATTATACAAAAATGAAGCCAAAATATCCAGAATATGGAATATGACCTAAACTGAAGCCAGCCACCAGGGGGGGTAATCTAGATATATTGGCTTCATATTCAGTGAGATGCCCAGGCTCCCAAGAAAGCAGCTCAGCCTTGCAGCTATTTTTTTCCCAGTGGCCTCTGGCAGTATTGCAGCGAAACATGCATTTTCCCCTCAGTCCACCATGA